TATATCAAGCAGATAGAGGAAAAGTTGGAGTCGTGTGGTATAAACAATTTAAGAGAAAACAAAACAACGACTCTCTTCCACCGAAACTCAATTGAATTACCTTTTTGTTAACTAGTTTATTTACAATGTCTAGTTATATAGGTATTTATGTCTAACATTAAATGAAAATCCCGTGCATGAACAACTATTGCCATGCACTCTCGTCATTCAAGTAATCGTTTAGTAATTTGATCAGAAAATCTAGACACGCGGTAGCGTGTCAAGCCTAGTTTCAAGTAAGAGAACTGGCGAGCAGCACCGTGTGTATATTTACACGAACCATTTGGAGCCACTTTTGACCCCCTCATAACTCAAAAACTCTTTCACACAAACCTGTCAAATTTGGTTCATATATTGAGACTTGCGAGATAAATATTATGTGTTCTAAATTTCATAAACATATCTCAAACGGTTATTTAGATATTAACGTCCAAATATTATCATTTTTATCACTGATCAACTATAGATCAAAATTATAACCCACTTCCAGATGACCTAGGAAGTTCAAATTTGGCATGCAGATAGATAATTAGGTGAATATAAAGGAACTGAAACTGGTAAATTGTTATAATTTTATTATAATTTTTCACTTTAATTGATTCTATTTCAACTTATATTGGACAATTACTAAAATTCTATAAAAACGTCGATAGCCACCAATTAACATTGATCCCTGGCAAAAACAGCTCATCTTGTACTGGACGGAAAGTAATATTGTATGAAAGCGTCGATCATTACCAATTTACGTTAACCCCTTCACATCAGTGTCGATAACTAGCAAACTTCAAATATTGCATTGAGCGGTAAACACTAGTTGCTATAATTTAGATTCTGTCTAAAATATACTCGTACTTATAACTAAGAGTATAGTCGAATTTCGTATTTATTATGTTATTAACTGAGATTTGGTATTAATTACTGTTTCAATATTTAGCGTACATCGATACTCAAACATTTAAAAGTTACAAGAAAATAACACAAAAAAAGACAATTATACCCCGTAAACATACGAAAATACAGTAGTTTATCAAAAATAATTTGGTATTAATTTAGTTATAAATAAGTACCTCGTATAATTTATGTGCAAAAATAATATGATATCCCATCAAAAACATAAATTTGAATGGTAGCCGAGTTTAATATTATGATATATGCCTTGATTGTTGACTTCTACGACAAAAGAGGTGAGATCTAAATGGGTGACAAGTTCAATGGTCTGTCCTGAAATGTATTTATAACAATATAAAATATCATTTCTTCTTATAACTTAGGATAATATACTGTAGCCTAAGGTCTAACTTGGCTAGTTTTCATATACGAAATATACTGTAGCCTTTGCACGTTCTAAACATGTTACTTGTCTGTTCCTATTTTATTATTAGTAGTAACTAGCAATCGGAAGTAATAATTGGTATATGAGAACTGGCCAAGTCAGACCTTAGGCTACAGTATATTATCCTAAGTTATAAGAAGAAATGATATTTTATATTGTTATAAATACATTTCAGAACTGACCATTGAACTTGGCGCTCATTTAGATCTCACCTCTTTTGTCGTAGAAGTCAACAATCGAGGCATATATCATAATATTAAACTCGGCTATCATTTCACATTTATGTTTTTGATGGGATATTATTTAACAGATGTTTTCAATTTATTTAAGAGTAATTCCTGTATGTCTTTCGGTATCTTATTGTAAATTTTTATACTTATACCCATAAAAGACCTATTGAATTTTTCTAAACGATACTTACAATGCCATAGCGAACTATCCGCAATCGTTGATACGATCAGTACTTGCTATCAGGTACTACCACCATAGCACCTTTACATGTCTGATGTCTGGAGATAAACCGGATAATCCGCAGATAAGCCAGCACGCGCAGGACGTGTGTTACGAAACATTCAGCAGACAAGGTCGGCTGTAATCGCGACGTAAGATATGAATTGTCCTACAGTGATCCACTAGAGGCGAATGCGTGAATTCGTTGCAAACTATTAGCAATATACATATATGTAAATCTATATCAATATAGACAGCTGATAAGTTTGGTTGAACGTGCTAATCTCAGAAACTGGTTAAAATTGAAAATTTATTTTAGATATAGGAATAATGATTATTCAATTAAACTTAATATAATAACAAACCTTTCATACTCCACAACTAATTTGAAGAAATAATTATCTAAAAAAATATTATCTTTTAAATATGCGCGGCTAATTGTCTTGAAAGCAGTATCCCATCAAAAACATAAGTGTGAAATGATAGCCGAGTTTAATATTATGATATATGCCTTGATTGTTCACTTCTACGACAAATGAGGTGAGATCTAATGGGTGCCAACTTCAATGGTCTGTCCTGAAATGTATTTATAACAATATAAAATATCATTTCTTATAACTTAGGATACTGTAGCCTAAGGTCAGACTTGGCCAGTTCTCATATACCAATTATTACTTTCGATTGCTAGTTACTACTAATAATAAAATAGGAACCGACAAATAACATGTTTAGAACTTGCGAAGGCTACAGTATATTTCGTATATGAAAACTAGCCAAGTTAGACCTTAGGCTACAGTATATTATCCTAAGTTATAAGAAGAAATGATATTATATATTGTTATAAATACATTTCAGGACAGACCATTGAACTTGTCACCCATTTAGATCTCACCTCTTTTGTCGTAGAAGTCAACAATCAAGGCATATATCATAATATTAAACTCGGCTATCATTACTTTTTGTACATAAATTATACGAGGTACTTATTTATAACTATATTAATACCAAATTATTTTTGATAAGCTAGTGTATTTTTGTATGTTTACGGGGTATAATTATTTTCTATATTTTCTTGAAACTTTTAAATGTTTGAGTATAAGTGCGCTAAATACTGAAACAATAATTAATACCAAATCTCAGTTAATAACATAATAAATACGAAATTCGACTATACTCTTAGTTATAAGTACGAGTATATTTTAGACAGAATCTGAATTATAGCAACTAGTGTTTACCGCTCAATGCAATATTTGAAGTTTGCTAGTTATCGACACTGATGTGAAGGGGTCAACGTAAATTGGTAATGATCGACGTTTTCATACAATATTACTTTCCGTCCAGAACAAGATGAGATATTTTCGCCAGGGATAATGTCAATTGGTGGCTATCGACGTTTTCATAGAATTTTAGTATTCGTCCAGTATAAGTTGAAATAGAATCAATTAAAGTGAAAAATTATAGTAAAATGATAACAATTTACCAGTTTCAGATTTTTTCCTTTATATTCACCTAATTACCTATCTGCATCCCAAATTTGAACTTCCTAGGTCATCTGGAAGTGGGTTATAATTTTGATCTATAGTTGATCAGTGATAAAAATGACGATTTTTGGACATTATATCTAAATAACCGTTTGAGATATGTTTATGAAATTTGGAACACATATTTATCTCGCAAGTCTCAATATATGAACCAAATTTGACAGGTTTGTGTGAAAGAGTTTTTGAGTTATGAGGGGGTCAAAAGTGGCTCCAAATGGTTCGTGTAAATAAATATACACACGGTGCTGCTTGCCAGTTTACTTGAAACTCGGCTTGACAAGCTACCGCGTGTCTAGATTAGAGTTTAATCTTCAGGTAGGTCAGGTCAGGTCATTTAGTTATATATAAATATTTATCGGAATAACAAATTAGCTTTAATACATCTGATGAAAATTTTAAGTATGAAATTCTTGGCGATCGGCTCGAAAACTCAAATTTTCGCCCGGTTTGAGACCGGGCGAAAATTTGCTGATAATTATCGGCAATTCAAATTTTATAATTAAAATCTTTTATTAAACAATATTTGTGTAAGAATGCTTATTATAGGATAGACGAATTCATATATGTCAACATATCCAGTCAATAATGTGTTTATTTGCATAACTACGTTATATATTTATTTTATATTTAATTATGAGAAATAAATGTATACTGTGAATACTATAACTATCAGATGACAATTTTAAGTAGTTTATGACGTCGTCAAGTGTCTTGAACAGTCAAGTACCCTAAAATCTCCAGACATGTGACGGCGTGGTGAGCCGGGTCATAGGGCTCCCTAAAATAAGATCCAGCGCAGTGATGGCTGGTTCATCCGTCATACTATACATATATACTGATTTAATCTTATGTATTTAGTCAACCAGTTGATTGAATCTATACATATAAATAAAATTGGAGTGTATGTTTGTAATATTGAAATAACAGTTTTTTACTAATTTTTTACAATTTTTATCTATCTGTCTGTTTGTTCCGGCTAATCTCTGAAATGGCTGGACCGATTTTGACGGGACTTTCTTTGGAAGGTACCTGATGTACTAAGGAGTAACTTAGGCTACTTTTATTTAAGAATAAAGTTAAATTCCACGCAGAGGAAGTCGCGGCTACAGATAGTATTTAATATATTCTCTATTTGAGTAATTAATTGAATTAATGCTAGTTGGTAGTTTGTATTGACACACTTCTTGTGAAGAGACAGCTTTCCGAATGAGCGGTAGATTGAAAAAAATGTGATGACTATTCAAAAGTGCTTCAATGTAAGTTTATTTAAATAAATGATTTTCTATTCTATTCTTTCCGAAAAACTGTCAATTTTGCGTCCCTAAGTTCATTTCGGGGACATTAGGACTGATAATTAGAAAAGAGGTCAGTCTCGTTCAAAGCGGGGCATCTGGTTGGTTAAGTTATATATACGCGGGGGCAAACTAAGGCACGTGCCCGTAATTTTTGGGGCAATATTGGTTCAATTTTCATTTTTATTTCACAGAAAAACATGGTTTCCTAAGTATTGCTGAAACATATAAAAATTATAACGAATCGTTGATTAATAATACCCGGCGCGGCATTACAATGTTGCCTCGGGCTCTCTTTAGCCTTAGTCCACCACAGTGTTTACAGATGTATATGATGTTACGTACGTTATATAGCGGCGGCGCGGAGAGCTGCGAGGCGAGTTCGTGAAACCGAGCGCGCGCAGCTTCCTCCTCCGGTGCTAAGGCGGCGCCCACACGGCCCGTCACCTCCTGTCGCGAGATCACCTGGCACACCACCACACACATCTTAACACGCGTTTTCACTATACATATAATAGAAATAGTCAATTTTAGGACTAAACCACGAAATTTACCTATTAAATTGTGACCAACTATGACAGGAGGGGATTATTCAATCGGTGTAACATATTCAATAATACAAGGTAATTGCTTGTATTGATAATGGTAATTGGGCCACCCCCCCGGTCACGAAACCCAAGCCCCTTGCGGCAAATTCGAACTTGGAAAATTAATACAAATACATTAACACATCTTTGACATCTTAATCACTGAGAAGTCAAATATATTGTTTGTGTTCATTGTGTGTATATTTGAAAATACTACAATAATTAACAGCAAAAATTGGACAAATTAATATGTATATATATTGTAAAAATGTTGGCCGGAGGGAGAGGGCAGGGCAGAGCAGGCAGGTCTTAGGGGGCCGCATTTTTTACTTTTTACCCCAGCTTGAAAAAATTAACAAATGGGCTGAATAATAATAACAATAATATCTCAGAAAAATTCACAGAACGCTAAGGTTAAGCTAAGCACAGCTTGGGTTATGGAGACTAGACAACTGATATACCTATACTTAGACATACATTTTTTATTATATGCAGTAATATATAGAAAACACCCAGACCGAAAAGAGATACAGATGAACGATCATGTGTCCAAAGCGAGATGTATGGACATACCTGAAGTAGCGTGTGACGCAGAGCGTGCAAACGAGCAGTCATGTGCGCAAGACGAGCTCCGGAAGCCGCACGACGTGTGCGTAGTTCTGCGAGCGTATCGGCGGTGCGACGCAGCCAGCTAGCCTGGAGCTTCGCTTCTTCTGACTGGCAGCGTGCACGAAACTTAATCTATAAAGACAAATAGATACTAAACAAATCGTATAAAGTATTTTATTAATTTTCTAAATACGTAAAATGTTAAACATGTGCTACAGACAGCTCATAACTTTACATATTAAGCAGAACATTAATGTAATATAAAAAAATATGATATTAGTTTGCATTCGCGACAATGATTTCGTATCACGTTTACAGAAAATATGGAGATTTGTTATACAGCCCCAATGAAAACGTCTTCAATTATATGTTCATACTACTATACCTATTTGTGTAACAAGTCCAAGGCAATAATTAAAACCATATCTAGACACGCGGTAGCGTGTCAAGCCGAGTTTCAAGTAAACTGGCAAGCAGCACCGTGTGTATATTTACACGAACCATTTGGAGCCACTTTTGACCCCATCATAACTCAAAAACTCTTTCACACAAACCTGTCAAATTTGGTTCATATATTGAGACTTGCGAGATAAATATGTGTTCCAAATTTCATAAACATATCTCAAACGGTTATTTAGATATTAATGTCCAAAAATCGTCATTTTTATCACTGATCAACTATAGATCAAAATTATAACCCACTTCCAGATGACCTAGGAAGTTCAAATTTGGGATGCAGATAGGTAATTAGGTGAATATAAAGGAAAAAATCTGAAACTGGTAAATTGTTATCATTTTACTATAATTTTTCACTTTAATTGATTCTATTTCAACTTATACTGGACGAATACTAAAATTCTATGAAAACGTCGATAGCCACCAATTGACATTGATCCCTGGCGAAAATATCTCATCTTGTTCTGGACGGAAAGTAATATTGTATGAAAACGTCGATCATTACCAATTTACGTTGACCCCTTCACATCAGTGTCGATAACTAGCAAACTTCAAATATTGCATTGAGCGGTAAACACTAGTTGCTATAATTCAGATTCTGTCTAAAATATACTCGTACTTATAACTAAGAGTATAGTCGAATTTCGTATTTATTATGTTATTAACTGAGATTTGGTATTAATTATTGTTTCAATATTTAGCGCACTTCGATACTCAAACATTTAAAAGTTTCAAGAAAATATAGAAAATAACACAAAAAAAGACAATTATACCCCGTAAACATACAAAAATACAGTAGCTTATCAAAAATAATTTGGTATTAATTTAGTTATAAATAAGTACCTCGTATAATTTATGTACAAAAAGTAATGATATCCCATCAAAAACATAAATGTGAAATGATAGCCGAGTTTAATATTATGATATATGCCTTGATTGTTGACTTCTACGACAAAAGAGGTGAGATCTAAATGGGTGACAAGTTCAATGGTCTGTCCTGAAATGTATTTATAACAATATATAATATCATTTCTTCTTATAACTTAGGATAATATACTGTAGCCTAAGGTCTAACTTGGCTAGTTTTCATATACGAAATATACTGTAGCCTTCGCAAGTTCTAAACATGTTACTTGTCGGTTCCTATTTTATTATTAGTAGTAACTAGCAATCGAAAGTAATAATTGGTATATGAGAACTGGCCAAGTCAGACCTTAGGCTACAGTATATTATCCTAAGTTATAAGAAATGATATTTTATATTGTTATAAATACATTTCAGGACAGACCATTGAACTTGTCACCCATTTAGATCTCACCTCTTTTGTCGTAGAAGTCAACAATCAAGGCATATATCATAATATTAAACTCGGCTATCATTTCACATTTATGTTTTTGATGGGATTTAGTTTTACTGTAAACATGAATAATGTACTTAGTAAGTAAATAGTATATAAGGATTGATTATTACAATAAACGAGACAGTATACAATCAAACGTTGTACCTATAATTTGCCTAACAAGCACCATCCTTATATTACACATGCGATCTGTTGAACAACTATACATAGAAAGCATACTGTTTGAAATTACCTCTGAAAACCCGACTATCGGAACAGGGATATAATTTTCAGGATCAGGATTGTCCGCTTGTGCCTGCTTCCATAACCGCATATCCATACCTATTAATAGCAAATAAAATGTATACACCAGGAGGAAAATCTGCATACTATTCAATTCAATATATTTAATAATTATATTTGGTTAATTAATAATATTTGTACATAGTGACCAATCGTAAAGATTCCGAATTATATAAATTTTATTATAATCTTTATTGCACTTGTAACTTAAAATGGCATGAATATTAGAAATAATGTGAGCAAGGGTAGGCTTATCTCAGAAAGAACTCTTCCAGCCAACCTAAGTATGTGATTTAGATGGAAATTAACAGGCAAAGGTAGTGCAACGAGTGTTGGACAGACAATATAAATAGAATATTGTAAAAGTGCCTACACTTGTTATATTTCTGTCGACACTTGAGACCCTTCCATTAGTTTACGTTTCCACTAACATAGATTTAAGTTAAGTGTAAAACAGTCCGCATTTTACCGATATACCCACTAACTACATACTACAATAAATAATACATTGTGTAGCGCCACCTCATCACACACATATATAACGCTACAGTGATAAGGATAACCACCGCCCTACATAAACAAAATTCATACAAAAAGATATTATATTTTATATACTAAATTATTATTAAGTATAAAAGTATTTGCTAGGAATTTCTTCGAAACGACACTAGCGTGAGCCTGTGCGGTCGTAACTTATGTACTGAGAAAGGGCGGAAGACGCACCTGGTGCCACCAACAGGTACGTCTCGCGCGGGCTCTTCCGCCCCGCGCCTGCGGGTATATACGGGTATAGCGTGCGCGCGGCGGGGGAGGCCGAGGACGTGATGGCGAGCGCGAGACTGGAGAACACACGCGAGACGTACCTGGCGGTGGCGCCTGCAGGTATTGTGCTCGCACGGCGGGAGAGGGAGTAGTGGCGGGCGCGATGGCGGAGCACCCGGCGCCCGTGAGAGCCGCCCGCGCCGCGCCCGCTCCCAGAAACGCGCCCAGCTCCGACGCACCCACACGGCACCCGCTCGCGTTCTTATCCACTACGTATACCACCACCTGAAAACCATAATATTTTAATTATAATCTGACCTCCGTTCAGTTGAGTAAAAGCATTTCAAATAAGTAGACAATAGAGAAAAAGATTCCAAACGTGAACACTTTTTATACTCTAATTAACCTAACTAATGTATCACCTGAGTTTTTGATTCTGAGACAGCCTTTACAGCATCAATATTAACAACCAAATTTGGTTTATTTCCCAATAAATTTGACAGGGAATTTGTTAATGCTTGTTGATTATTTCTGGAAAAAGAATTATATTACTAATTATTAGTGTACACAGCAGAGTATCAGGGAATTGTTCAATACCTAGTCAACTAGTAACTTGGTACTTAATAATATACATACTTAATATCCTGTTCAGGTTTATTAAACAACATCGCTACATGGCCATCCTTGTCCTCTCGTCCACCAAGTCTAGAGTAGCCAACTGCTTTGAAACGGCATAATGGATTTTGCTCATTCAACTCTAATGCGGATGCATTTCGACTGTAATAAGCTTGACCTATAATAATAAATTAAGATGATTATAAGCACATTCATTACATCATGCACATTATAGCCGGAAGGGCTGATCGCAGATAGAGAGAGAGAAAAAAAAAAAAAATAAGAACATTCAAACAAATACATACCATATATTATATTAACACATTATGAGCGGAGAAGGTACTAGAACTCGTTCCGTTATTAAAAAATGTATATGCGACACACATCGAGAAAATAATGTACTATTCTTTTCTTCTATATTTATAAAAGTGTCATTTCTAATTATATAGAATACATTGCCTAAACATATGCGACTGAAAAGTAATTTTTTTAATGATATTGTAAATTAAATTTAATATAATTAAAGGAACTTAATATTTCAGTTTTACTGCACTTTATGTAGAAATTTTCATTCTGAACTGTAGAATCTAGACTAAACTATATCCATCTCACCAGTCCCCCATTGAGCTTGGAGTAAATTCCACTTAGCAAGCACCTGATCTCTCTCATCACCAAACACGGAGCAGTTAAAGACAGCAGCCACTAAGGCTTCATGTGCAGTCGTCGGGCCCTGTTGCTGCTGTTGTAATTGCTGTCGAAATTAAAAAAGCTAAAGTTTAGCAAAGATGTCCTAATGTTATATTTTTATGTAATTGAATAAATATCTGACTTTTCCAATGGTTTGGTCATTAAGAATTCGATGAATGTCAAAATATAAATGATTCCAAGAAGAGCAGTATTCTCTCTATACTGTACTCTACATAAAGACAATGTTATAAACTTATATTATGTTAATTTGAATAAAGATTATTTCTATTCCTTTAGACAATAATCTAAACTTATTATTATTAAACATACTTGCTGTTGTTGTCCAAATGCTGTGCTAGCTCCAAGACCAGTTCCAAAACCACTAAATCCAGTTGTCGCCGGTTTGGCACCAAATGTTGACCCAAATGTAGATCCAGTACCAAAAGTTGACCCACCAAATGTATTGGAACCAAGAGTATTGGTACCAAAACTTGGAGCAGCACTACCAAATGTAGATGTACCAGTACCAAAAGTCGAACCAGTACCAAATGTATTTGTACCAAAAGTACTGGTACCAAAACCTAAAAGTATTAGACATTATGTTTAATGATAATAGTCTAAAATACATACTAAGTAATATATACCCTAATCTCTTATTTATTTTATATTTTTATGTTAAGTAATATGTAGATTTAAAAATCGCACATATAGTCGTATTTTTAATTAGACGAAGCTAACTGACAGTAGCTAATGTCACGTTATAAAATAATGTTGCCATATTTAAAGTAATAGTGATGCGTTCAGTTCTCGGTCAGATGAATGAACAATGAGTGTGAATAGTTAATCATTTCAAACTACAAAATAATATTATTTCTATTTTATAATAAAATTGTATGAAAGTGCTCTGATATAAGTTACTAGTGTTACGTAACTACAATCAGTTATTTGACGGCTTATTACAAATATAAGCGCTGTTGGCAAAGTAGCCACTAGTGCCAACACCGATCAACGTCCGACTTCATTTAACTTCGGTCGCCATTTTGTTCGTAATTTATATTATATATACTCTGGTCTGAGAGCACGAATGTTTTTTTTTGCGCTCACACTGTTTTGTTATTGTTTTTGATAAGTTTTCCTTCTGTTGTGTTTGTGGTAATAGTTAGGTATATTATATTTGCTATATTGTTTCGTACCAATGTATCCTTCTCATGGATGGATGGAAATGGATCCTCAACCAAGCATGTCAAGCCAAAGCTTGTCTCCAAGAAAGAAGAGACCACGGATTGCTTTAAGCGTTACCGAAAAACTTATGATACAAAACGTCTACAAACACGTATTTGAGGAGAAAGCTGCTTCACTATTACCTATTGAGGCTCCCGAAAAAAAAGAATGTATTTCGAAAACAGCTGACATTTTGGGAATTGGTGTGACCTCGGTCAACAATGTATTAAAAGAATACAAAGAAAATGAACAATTTAAGTCTCTGGAGAAACGTGGACCGAAACACTGTTTCAAAGATAAATTATTGTCAATTTTTCCGACAGATTTATAAGTAATGATGAATAAAAACAAATTTTGTAATAAGCCAAGTTTTTTATTTTTATTACATAACTATATTATGTTATATATTGTTATATTTTATACATCTATAGTTTTAACTACATGATGTATTGTAAATAGGACAGTCTTAAAAGTTTCCTTAATTTTTTGAAAATCATGTTTCAAATACTGATGTATTCAGTATAGGTAGATACTAGAGGAACATAGTTGTCGAAAACTTGTTGGTATGTATAAAGCACGGCTAAAATTGAACCCATGTACCCGATATCGGCAGTTCGTAACACTAACTATTCACTAGACTAAACAATTGAGGCAATTCCATTAATTCAGGAGTTTTTCAATTATTCACTTTGTCACAACACTATTTTTATTTCATCAAATACTGACAACACAGTAAACGTCAGTTGACTTCGTCTAATTAAAAATACGACTATAGGTTGCTGGACAAAATGTGTCAAATGATGTACACTTTCAACTATATTTTTTTTTATTATCTTCCCCTATATCTTACCATCAAAATGAAGCATATAAAAGTCGAAACTTCTACGCTCCCACTTCGACCATTTATAATATGAAACAGTCATTTTTCCTTAATTAGTCCGTAATATTTTATTGCATGGTCTTTCGGTATATTTGTACCCCCATGGTACTAGATCAACCAGTATGACTCACCTTTATTTAGTTTTTTTCGAATATAAGAATAAAATTCAAATAAAAACTAAAGATGTAATACTAACATATATATTAAAATTTAACTTCTGTTATGGTTTAATTGCTTCATATTCATAACATGTATGTATCAGCATAATAAACATTAATGTAAAATTAAATATTCAGACTTATATTATATGTTATTATTTATATTATATTATATATACCTGGCTTAGCAGCAGTAGTTCCAAATCCAGCACCCCCAAACAAACTAGGTGCTGTTGAAGCTGGAGTTGCTCCTAGCCCACCAAAAGGTGTAGCTGTAAAATAAATATAATTATATATAACAATAACTTTGTGCATAACAATAACTGTCTAAAGAATCATTTTGAACTGTAATGTGAAATGTAGTCTGATTGGGTGCCACAGTATCACCTATTTCAGCTGCCAAGGAAGCTTGTTTTATAACCTGTATGTAGGGTTCATATTAAGCAGTGATATTACAGGATAAGAGTATTATCACAGTCTCTGAAATGGCAATACATTAGAGATATTGCCGGTAACACATGACGGACATGATATGCACAGTAGTATTCATGTCTATAGGCATTGGTTAATTATTACAAGTATGAGCTGTCAGCTCTTTTGCCATTCCATGACATAGAAAAAATTCAGATCTTTCTTTATTCACTGAGATAAATGAAGAAGAGATTCTATTATAAATCAAACTACATAAGGTATTTGACACATTAGTAACAGATTTATAAGTCTTTATTTTATGAAAATAATGATACATATTGATGTTTTTTAGGGTCAGCCATGTGCATGTAATGTACAATAGTATAAAAAACTACACAGGGAGTGCAAAATTTTATATATATATGTATATATATATATATATATTTAAACTTTCCCATTAAGGATTTTAACTTAAGAATTCCCTTGTGATATGTTCTGGAGAATCTATCACAATGAAATCCATGATGATGTAGTAACTACTCATTCTATCCTCTAATGGAATCCCACCAGCTTACTATAGCTATTCATTCAATTATTATTCATTACAAAAATTACCTGTACTAGTTGGTGCCCCAAATGTTCCAAATCCAGAAGATGTTGTAGAGGTTCCAAATCCACCAAATCCAGCTGTACTTGTGGTTGCTGTATTGGTACCCCCAAATGAGAAGGAGGCTGAAATAATAAATGATACAGATTAAATGTAATTGAGTATAAAAGGTCACAATGTAAACAGTTGTGAATACACAGTCATATCCAGTGTTTTTAAAAAATCTAGTTTCCAGAAAAAAACATATATATTATATTTCTTTCTGGAAAACTAGATTGATCAGTTAATTCCTCAAGAATATTATGCAGCAATTGTTCTTACTAAAATAAATAGGGTAAATTATAACTATTTATCTACCACAGTTAAGACAACACCTTTATTTAGTATGCTTTTTTTTTTAAATATGTAAAAGTAAAGTAAGTAATATCTATACAAAATATATATTAGATTTGTGTTCCTAGTATTTATTACAAAAATACCTCCTCCTCATATATGTGAGGCTAGAGGGATACCAGAAGCATTATAAAAATTAAAGCTTGCCATCCAACATGTTAATGTACGGTATTACTGCAAGTGATTTTTTTTAATTTAATTTACTTATACTTACTACATTATTACTACAAAGACTACCATTGTCGACATAAGTACATACAATTAATATAAAATATATTAAAGGTGTATCAGGTACTTTATAGCTACTGGATGTCCAGTCCATGTGTGTAATGTGTATGGTGTGTAATTTGTGTAATGTGTGTAACATGTAAGAAATGATGTACTTTACACCTATGAAAATTAAATATTAGCAGTTAAGAATATTTTCAGTATCATTATTTAGAGTTAGTAACCAAACTATGCTTTCTAACAACCTGAGAGATAGTGTGGTTTTAAATTTGGTAACTTTTTAAGATTTTGATGTAAGTGAATGGATGAAGTGTGGCAGGTGACTTGAGAATGTAGTTGTAATGCACGGAATATGAACTATAACAGAGTAAAAGGTTTGAAATATTATTTTAGAGACTAATAATAATTTAGAGACAAAGTTAATGGTTGGCAATATTATGACAAAATTAATGCATAGTGGCAAGCACGAGTTCTGTCCTAAAGAGATGATTGTTGAGGAGTTATCATTTTATTACTTTTTTCATATTAAGTCTTCATATTTTTACATGTGTTTTATATTATTTATTTTGTTCAGTATTTCATTATATATTTTTTTATATCAGTAAACTGTTAAGATATTGAATATGTCAATGAATATATATATATACTTGGAGCATATAATATCAAATAAGGGACTACAAGGACTACAAGGAGCAAATAAATAGAGAAGTAGTAATAAATAGTAGTAAATAAATAGAAGAGTTTCAAACACTTGAAAAAACAGTATAGAATTGAGATGTAAAACAGGTTTATTAAAGACAACAACTTGATTTAAAAATAGAAAAATAATAAGTACATAAAAATAAACAGGCAATGGTTAACTGAATTGTATGTTTACCAAAATATCAAGACAATTTAATGGAAATAATTGATCCCACTGGAGAAAAAAGACAAGTACAGGAAATTATCGAAACCTCTAGAGGAGACTTATGTCGGCAGAGAAGCTCTGGATGTGGAAAGTTATAGTATTTATATGGGGTGTATACAATACTTAGTAGTGAGGCCTAGCGACTACACTCAGATTCAATCTGCTACATTAACCTCCATACTTTACCCACTTTGAGAAATTCTCATTAATGCCAAATAACATAATAAAGTTAAAGACAGTTGTACCTCACGAATTCTTAAGTATTGTCCTGATATCATTAACCAATAATTTGACGTACTTAAATTAAAAACTTACGTTTAGCGGCTGAACCAAATGCAGTACTTTGTGTAGTAGTATTGGAACCAAATGAAAAAGACATGACGTTGATCACAGTGAATAAAAAGTTACACTATAAACAATATAGATGTTACTTATTTATACTAACAATAAAGTAAGTACAAAAATAAATCTATTAATTAATTCAAAGTTATTTATATACACTGTTTGACACTCGGTTTCGTAGTTTTTTTTCTGCATTAATTTTGTCATTTCAAACTTATCAACTGACTACCAGGAATGATGACCATACGTCATTCTGCCGCAGAATGACGCGCGATGATTTTTTTTTTTTTTTTTCCATATTCGTCCATCTCCTTTTCAGTGATGGAACAGGCAAAGATCCTTAGACCGTACAGCCTAGTCTACTTTTAAACTTCTTCATATTTGAACAAGTGATGAGGCCAAAGGCCAATTCTTATGTATATTTATTTATTATGTTTTCATTCGTGTTCAAATTTTAAGTCTTATCCGTAGTCCATATCCTTGTATCAATTATTTAAAGTTTCATCGATATCGAGGTAACGTATAAATATATAGGTATATATGTTTCAAAATTAGTTAGCATGTCTTGGATGTCGCGCGGGATTTTTTCCGGTTTCTTGTAAATGTTCAGTAAATTATCAATAAAGACCAAGCGTTGAATATTATAAGCGGAGCATTCGAAAAATATGTGATTTAGGGTCTGACTGCTGTTATTGCACTCTTGACATGCATTTGAATCAATTATTTTCATTCGGCACAAATGACTATTGAATCTAGCGTGACCAAAACGAAGTCGTATAAGGAGTGTGTAAAATTTCCGGTTTTTATAAACTCTAGATTTAGTGAACCAGGGTGAGGAATGAATATTTTTGTTAATGGAGTAAAACCAATTACCCTTGGTCTTTAGCGAAAGTTGCCACTGTTCAATCCATTTTTGACGAAAACTCTTGTAAACTATAGAAAGAATGTCGGAATAAGGTATGGCAACATCCTTGACAACGCCAATGTCATTGTTGGTGATAGTTCTTGCCAGGAAATCTGCGTTTTCATTACCGAAAACACCAATATGTGATGGTGTCCATAATAAAATAATATCATAACACTCCAATGAGAGCTCATATAATATTTGCTTAATGCTATCTATGATATAATTGGTTTTATAATGTAGTTTGTTACTTTGAAGAGCAGTTAAAACACTCATACTGTCTGTGACAATTAACCATTTTTTGCAATTGCCCCTATCATCTTTTATATAACAAAGTGCATTTAAAATAGCCAAAGATTCTGCTGAAAAAATACTAAATTCTTTATGTATTCTAGTTCCATGACCGGTTCTGATACTTGGTAAGTATAGAGCAAAGGATGTTCTCGATTCGTTTTTAGAACCGTCTGTAAATATGAATTGATGAGTTGAAAATGTAGACAACTTGTTATAAACTTCTTGTTTGGTCCTTAACTCAGAGTCAATTACAATATTAATATTTGGAAATTTACTTTCAAATGGTCCATGGTAACAATTCCAAAATCTATTGCTTTTGTGAATTTTGTATTGCTGATCAATATTGATTGAGTCAGAGAAATCATGAAGTATATAGGGAACTGTTTTAGAATTAGAAAGGGGAAATAAAGAAGTAATATGTTTGAGCTTTTGTAAGAGTGGGTCTTCAGAAAAGGATAATAATTTTAGGATGAATCTTTGTTTTAAGTACCAGAATCTCAGGTTTAATGGTGGTATACAGCACTCTACTTGTAAGGAATTTATAGGGGTTGTTTTCATTGCACCAGTTATGTATCTTAAATTATTATTCTGAAGTACTTCAAGTTTATGAAGCTTGTTTTGGTCAGAACCAAAACATAGATAGCCATATTCAAAGTGGCTGCGAATCAAGGATTTGTACAGCATTAAAAGGATCTTAGGATCACATTTATATAGAGCTTTGATAATATTAAATGCTTTGGAAGCTTTACCTAGTAAATAATCAACATATTTGTTCCAAGACAAATTGCTACAAAAAATAACACCTAAAAATTTAACTTCAGCAGTAATAGGTAGTTGTGAATTATTATATTAGTTTTAGAAAATATTACTACTTTAGATTTGTCAGGGCTTACATCTAAATTGAGGTATTTAAAGTAATCTGTTAATCTTAACAATGCATTACTTATTATTTCTGTAACTTTATTAATGTCTGGGCCTGAAAAGTATATAACAAGGTCATCTGCAAATTGAAGATTCCTGACATGTGGTCCTAAAATTAAATTAAGTTTGTGTATGTAGAGGATAAAGAGTAATGGACTAAGTATTCCACCTTGACACACACCTTTATAAGAAAGACGAGGTCCTATTAACTGCTTGTTAACTTTAACAAAAACTTCTCTACCATTTAGAAAGTTATAGACCCAGTTTATAATTTTTCCAGGTATACCAATAGAAACAAGTTCCAGAGTGAGAATGTGATGATTGACATTATTGAATGCACCAATAATATCAAAGAATACCCCAATCAAAACTTCATTGCATTTAAGTGCTTTAAATATATCAATATGAAGATGAGTAACACTCTCTCTAGATTTTCAGATTTACCTCTACGAAAACCAAACTGATTTGCTGGTAATAAACAATTACTCTCTATATAATTCTAGTCTTTGTTTTAATAATTGCTATATATTTTTCCCATGCAGGAGGTCAGAGTTATAGGTCTATATTTTGAATCTATTTCATTTGCATTTTTGTTTGGTTTTAAAATTGGAATAATACAATCTTTTTTCCAATCGGAAGGAATAAGTGAATCTTTCCACAGTGCATTATAAATACATAAAACAATATTTTTAGAGTTATAAGAGAGGTTTTTTAATAATTTATATGCTATGCCATACATGTTTAATGAAAATGCGAGACCAAATGCTGTATCTCTTCGGGTAGATATGGCTGCATTAAATTCATAAAAAGTGAAGGGTTTATTTAAATAATTTAATTTGTTACTATTTTCATTAATGTGTGATTTAAATTGGGTCTCGACAGTGTCAGGAGTATATTTTTTAAGAAAATTAGAAATCCAGTTATTATTATTTGAAATCTGACTATATACATAAGTTTTATTGAATTTTTTAACAGTATTCCAAATTTTGGAAATGGGTGTGGTGCGATTAAAATTTTCACAAAACTTATTCCAGCTAATTGATTGTTCTTTTTTAAGTATTAATTTTTTTTTGGCTTGTAACCTTTTAAAAGCAATATAATTTGCCTCTGATGGGTCGTTTTTAAAATTAACATATGCCTGTTTAGAGTTATATACTGCAAGAGTACATTTTTGATTCCACCAAGGTAATGGAATCCTTTTATTTTTAAAAGGAATATCATTTGTAGAGCTTATGGGTTTTGATTTTGATATACAACATTTGTCTATAGCTAAATTTAAAATATCAATTAATTTAGTATAACACTGCAGGGGTGAATTACTATAAGTGTAAAGTGTAAAATCTTGTAACAAACTATCTGTGGTATTCTTATACACAGTCCAATCTATAAGATTGTAATTATGAAATTTGGGATAATCTAAGGATTCTGGTAATCTAGAGCAATTGTTATTAATTACTATTTTTGTTATTACAGGTAAATGGTAGCTACCTAAGGGATCATTATGTACTATCCAATGTGAAGCAAGAGATATGCAAGGGGATGCAATAGTAAGGTCAAGCGCATTACTCTGCCATCTGTGTGATCCTACTGTAGTCGGTGTACCATCATTTAAGAGGACCAAGTTGTTACCATCAATACATTCAAGAATGTCACGACCGCGAGCATTAATAGACGAGCAACCCCATGCTGTGTGATGAGCATTAAAATCACCAGCAACCAACATGGGCTCTGGAATACTATTAAGAAGATTACTGAATTTATTTTTGTTAAAACGTACTATAATTATTTGGGCTATAAAAACTAACAACTGACATTTCTTTGTTTTTATATTTTAATCGTACCGCAATATTCTGTAAGGAATCATCACTATATGTATCAATTTTACTGAATTCTATACTTTTATGAACTAAAATTGCAACGCCGTTGTGGTCATTGCCTGAGTCTAATCTAACAATGTTAAAGCCTTTAATATTTAATTTATAGTAGGCTTTTAGCCAGGTTTCTTATATCAGAGCACTATGAATATTGTTCTCCAATAGAAAATGTATAAAGATTTGTTGATTACTTACTAAACTTTGTGCATTCCATATATTACTATATGGTCCATAAAGAAATAAAAAATTAAAGAAAGAAAGATTAATCTGGGTTTTTTTTATTCTGTAATGTCTCTAGGAGAACTTGTTTTATATTTTCTGTACATATTGTTTTGTCATTGGTTCTATTCAATGTTATAATTTTAACAATTGATTCTAATAGGGTATTTAAATATTTGGTCAGAATTAAGTAGTGATATATTTTGTGCCGAAGGTGAAGTTTTGGTACTGCCTAATTGAGGAAATGATTTCTCTCTAACAATATCAGCATAACTTTGTACTTTATTTTTATTCTCCTCTATTTTCTTTTTCTTAATAGGACACTGTGATGAAATGGCTATATGATTACCATTGCAGTGACAACATTTGGCTTCGTTAATATTTGCGAACAGTTTCTGAAATTATGATTATTTCCGCATACTGAGCATCTTTCAGCGTTCTTACAAATATATATATATATATATATATATATATATATATATACTGCTTTACAGGAGGTATGTAAGGCCTCACCACAAAGCGCCAGCTATTCAGGTCGACGGTGTCAGGAAGTACAGGACAGGAAAATGTGATGGAGACGGTTTTAGTTAAAGCATTGTAAAGGTGTTATCATCACCTTTAATACGCCTCATGAATCTGCGTACACAAACAATATTTTCCAAGCTGGTTATATTAGAGTATATTTGTTCGTTCGATAGATGCGTAGGAACATGCTGAACTACTCCAGTTACTTCCGTGGCTGAAGCTGGTATACTTGCCTTTAATTTAAATCCGTCTAGAAATTTTTTATTAACTAAGGCTGCATTAGCTAAACCGGGGCGTTCAAAAATGACGCCGATCTTAAATTTATTCATCCTTAATAATTGCTTAACTCCTTTATTATATTTTTTCAAATTAGTAGCTAAGGACATCATATCCCTATCACCGATTGGCTTATTACTATCTGTACTCTCCATAAATACAATGTATTCAAAGTTTCCACCATCCTCAGGATAGTACCGAACATAATCTGGTATTTGAAATGCCTTATACTTATCCACATCCTCAGGTGCCGATTCCGAGTCAGACCCTAGAAAATTAATATCATCGGATGTATCATCCGATATTTCCTCTTTCTTTTTATACGCTTCTTCCCGCTCCTCTTCGTCATCTTTACTGGTTTTGACTAAAAAAAACTCAATAAAATATAATTTTGCAAAACTAGCGCGAAAAAATACGTGTAGTCGCTTTGAAAGTTCCCGCGCTTTTTTTCTGACGCGCGATGAATTTCTGCGCCTTGAATTTTTTTTATTAAGTCGTGCTTTGTTTTTTTTTTAATAATGCTTTATTTATAACCATGAATACAAGTCCTTCAGTCGAATACATTTTTATAATGAATTGAATACATAACATAAAAATTAAAACATAAGGATTGAAAACAATGTTGCCAACCGTAAACCTTTTTGCTTCATACGGCGAAGTCTGACTCACATTATTAGATTCAGTTCGAACAAAATAAAATGAGAGCTCATTCATAAGTATTATATCAGTTATATGGGCTTAATTGATTCTCCAATAACGTAATATTTTAAACAACGGGAGTGTTGAAACTGCGTTCAGAATGCACTGCAGAAATTAAAGAAATTTTCAACATAAAAGGAATTACACATTTCCTTTTTAAAGAATAATTATTTAATTTACCCTAAAAGTTAAAGTAATTATGAAATTGGTTTAATAATAATTTATTTTACTGTTTTCTAGATATGTATCATATTATTATCTATATATAAACTGATAGAATATATATTTGGATAGTTCAAGAACAGCAAATAAAAAGCTTTTCATTTCAATTTTGTATTAACGCCTGGTTTTTTTTTTCTAGTCTAATTTCCATAAAAATACAAATTTATTTTCGTTCTACTGTTTTTACTTATGTTAAATATATAAATGTATATAATTTTGTAGTACATTATAGCAATTTTAGACGAAAAAAAAACTACTTAAACTGCACAAAAACATTGTTTAACTGAAATAAAATATCTTTATTGCATATCACATCCAAAGTTATCTAGTCTGAATATCTCCACATTTTCCGAGGTGGTAACACATCAAACAGAATATTCCAGACCGGAAATTATATGCTTACGTCATTTTTACCATGATAACCATAATACAAAAACATTGTCCATTATCATTCAATAGCAAAATGAGAAGATGAAATTATTATGCAATAAACAAATCGGAGTATGGTCTTCGCCTCCCAGGGAATCCGTTATTTCTTTCCTCCAGGAGGCTGTAGTGGTTGGCCTCTTTCTTTTCCACGAAGTTTTATACCAATTGCTCTTTCGATTTTGCCGAGAACAATATTATTTGGTATGCCGCGACCGGCTTCATAATCATTTACTATTTGTGGTTTCTCGCAGATTCTTGTAGCCAAATCCTTCTGACTCATGCCTTTAGCTTGCCGTCCCTGCATTATTAATTTTCCCAAATCAAGTGATACCTTTTCATGACGCAATTCTTCAGTCTCTCTATCAAGTTTAGCTGTGTTTTTAGTAGTAACATGCTGTTTGTTGGTACCAGCTCCATATTTTTGTTGAGTTTCTACTGGTAAACCTTGACGGCGTGCAGCATTTACAGCCTGTTCAGTCTTCAGTGCAGATGCTTTAGGTGGTTTTTTACGAAGAATTGTAACTGTATCCCAATCAGACATGTTTAATTTCTAATTACTGATTCCACAGATCGTACTGGATGTAGATTTTAGATTCTATTAATTACAGAAATTTCAATAAATTTGTAGAATCTTGAAGTCGACAAAGTAGGTAATATAAGTACAGAGCCAAGAATACAGATATTTCATACCACAGATCAGAAAAACTTAATTTACGATATCACACCATAGAGGTCGTATGGTAACTATGTGTTTGTCTCGCTCTCAACAGCAAAATGCAAATCAGTATAAACACCAAACTTAAAGAAACATTAGGAATATTTATTAACGTAAGAACATCTCAGATTCTCGAAAGTTACAGTGATCATCATTGCCTTGCCTTTATCCCATTATTTGGGGTCGGCGCAGTATGTCATTCTCTTTGCTCTCTATCGGTCGTCATATGTGAACATACTCTTTTATTCATATCATCTTTCACACAATCCATCCATCTTTTCTTAGGGCGTCCCCTCCCTTTACAACCATCCACATTCATATTATACACTTTCCATAAGACATGGTCCTCGTTCCTCCGCATAACATGCCCATACCAGCTCAATCTGTTACCTCGCAACTTTTCTATAACCGGCGCAACTTTCAAACTTTTTATACTTTCAAAAACGAAAGTTACATTGATGTACAAATAAATAAGACATCATAAATATAATCACTATCGAAAATAAATGATACAGAAACACGTTAATTCCTAGGATCTAACAGTGCGAACTTGCAAAGCGAAGACTCAATACGAAGACACTGAGATGATTGGTCAAGGGCAAGCCAAGGGATAATAACAGATAATAAAATTAAAATTTTGTAAAAGAGCCAGCCGAGATCAACTGCTGACAATTATATTGTTCTCATTCTCTCATACTGTATTACCCGTATAATGCATCTTGTTCGCTTTACGCTTTATTCATAGTACGTATACTGACTCTATGACTCAACTCTAATCTACAATACCATGGAACAAAACAAACATTGCCGTATGAATTAATATCGCTTCTCGGCCTTTTGGCTAAGATCAAAGTGTAGTATCTGTTCTTTTCAGCTTCCGTATGAATTAAGTAATCTGTGAATTAACCACAAAATGAGATTCAATACAAATTTCAAAACAAAACAGTAATTAATAGTATTAATCTATTCTGACAGAAAATAATCTGATAAAAATAACAAACAGAAAAAGATCAACGTCTTTTCACTTCCACAAATGGATAACGAAACAGATTCGAATTCTGAAGAAGAGATTTTAGTTTTTGCTGAATTTGGAGATAGTGTTAATATTGACAAATATAGAAGCATTCATGTTTTAGGAATCAATCAAAGAAATCCCATTATTCAAATGGATGAAACATTTTTTACTGGTAGGATTACATTTCATTTTTTTTTTCATTTTTAGTAAGTGCACTGGACTCTAGTTGTTGACATTTATATATATATATATTCCTAATTAACAAATGTCTAATTACAAATATGTATATTGTATATGAATAGTATAATATGTAATATAGAATCCTTAACCCTACTAATCCTTACTAATATAATAAATGCGAAAGTAACTCTGTCTGTTTGTCTGTCTCGTTTTCATGTCAATATTACTGAACTGATTTAAATGAAATTTGGTACACCGATTATCTAGGCCCCGAGAAAGGACATAGGCTACTTTTTAATGCCAAAAAGGGGTTGAAAGAGGGGATGAAAAGTTGTATCGAAGAATCATTATTAAATTATTAAGATTAAGTATAAATAAATGTGAAGGGTAAGGGATAAAATTAAGTAGGGTATGAATTTATTTTATAAAATTTCATCATTTTTGAAACTAGAAGCTAGAAACTTATTTTTTAGAGGTTGATTGAGTTGTACATAATTCTGTATGGAAATTCCTCATTTTTGAAGCAAGAATGCAGAAATATTTTTATTTATTGGGTTAGATTATTCAATATTTTTGCATTATTTGATCAAAGTCACTATTTTACATGGACAAAGTCGCAGGTACAGCTAGTCATAAATAAAATTGAACCTTATTTATACAATGATGTTATTTACAAATATGTCTTGGATTTATGAGATTTGTCTACTTCCATTGGTGAATTCTCATCATTCACTTTTTTGTTTTAGGTAAATTTGAACAACCGTTAGGTACTTATATGTTTTTTGAAGACAATCCAATGGCAGAAAGTTGTGATCCAATTTTTGATAAATTATCTGAGAAAAATTTGAAATATGTGTGTAAGACACAGAAATATCTCAGCATGGAGCATGCTTATGTTAGTTCAAAAGAGGGGGCAGGTAAGTCTATATTATAAAATTAAAGACAACACTAATTATGAAGTTGGTGATTTGTTTAATATAGATGATTCAATTGTTGTCACCAGTAACCATCACCTTGTCAACCCATGTATTTTTCCACTTTTGGGATCTTTCATCAATGAAAGAACACTTTAATTGACTACTATACTAGCCATATAGCTTATTTATAGTTTAACCACAAAATAATCATTTTTAACTATTTCATCCTTCTCCAACTGGTCACATTTGTGATTTGACCAGTTCTAAAATTACTATTATATCCATCATCATTCTATACATAGTATAAAATAAAGTGGCTGTTGCTTTCTATCCCTATGTATGCTTAAATCTTTAAAAATACTCAATGGATTTTACAACAATTTTTATAATAGATATAGTGATTCTAAAGGAAGGTTTATATATATAATACATGTACACACGGGCGAAGCTGGGGCAAGTAGCTAATTAATGTTTTTTTATTATCTGTAATATTAAAACAAGCATACTTCAGTGCTTGTTTAAATCACAAGAAAATGTAGATTAAATCAAGATTACTTGCATGTGTATCATCAGGATACTTATGACTACATGAATCCTTTGACACAAGATTTCTAAAATTTATATATATTTGGAATGTGAAAATAATTGAAGGGATGAATAATGGATTGTTCTTGAGAATAAATGATGTTTCTTACTCATTCATGCAAAAGTACTAAATGGATTTTGATGAAATTTATACATAAGAATAAACTAATTTTATAAGATGATTTATAGTGGGACTGGTATGTCTGTGTGTTCCTAAAACACTTCTAAAAAAGTCACCAATGTTTAGTGAGTTTAGTGAGTGTCTACATAAATTCATATCAAAATAAACACTTATTGATTTTGGTCTATAAATTATATATATTTTGTAATTTACAGTAAGTAATTTTGGATAAATATATTGAAGGTTATGAAGATAAGAATAAACATGCAATTTTATTTGGGACACTGACACAGGCAGTGTCTTTATATTACTTACTTTATATTACATATTACTAAATATAAATTAATATTATGATTTTTTATATATCTGATCTGATTTTTATTTATTAACATAAATAACAATTACTACAATAAAAGTAGGTTAAGTTTTTCCTTATAACATTAGTTGTCTGTGAGTGAAATTAGTCCAGCCCTTTCAGAGGATATTTAGTACCTATGCTTAACTATGCTTATGCCTCATTATTTTTATAACAGAACAAAATATGCAAAATCAAGAAAGTCAACCTGATGATGAAATACAAGTTGTTAATTTCAAGAGTCTACAAGAAGCCCTTCAAAGGTTTCAAAGTATATCACATGATGAATCTAAATCAATATCAACTACATCAGAACAAGCAGATACATCTAGTTAAGATGCGTAAGTACCCTATTTCGAGCGCAGTGATGGCTGGCTCATTCGTCATACTCGTGAACGAGTGCTGCTTGTAGGGACTGGTCTGCTCTTATCACTACGACTGATTTAATCTTATTGTATACTAGCTGTCCCAGCAAATTGTTGTTTTGCCATATAAATTTAAAACGCTATAAAAAATAGGGGTTGGTGATAGAAGGGTGAAAATTTAGGGTTGTATGTATTTTTTAATGACACATAATAAAAACAAAAAAATTGCCTTATAATAAAAAAATAATATTAGGGGTGACAACCTTTAACACTTAGGTGTATGAATAATAGTTAGTAGCCGATTCTCAGACCTACTGAATATGCATATTAAAAATTTCATAAAAATCGGTCAAGCCGTTTCAGAGGAGTATGGTAACTAACATTGTGACACGAGAATTTTATATATAAGAAGATTTATATTTGAGCCTAATAAATTAGTGTTAGTTGGTAGTTTGTACTCACACGTTTCGACTTGTAAATGTAAACTTACAAGGAGTGCTTAAAAGACCAACACAAGTTTCTTGCTCGTTCTTCTTGTGATGGGACAGCATTCCGAAGGGGCGGTAGATAGAAAAAAAATTTTGTTATGACTATTCAAAGATGTTAAGTTAGATAAGTTATATTAGATACGTTAACGTTACTAGATTAGATAAGTTAAATTTATTTGAATATATGATTTTCTATTCTATTCTATTTATATTAACCCCAAAATTTTGTGTAGATATTATCAATCAATGGATCAACCATTGATGGATCTCAATTGGCAATCTGGGATAAAATATATTTTATATTTTATCCCAGATTGCCAATTGAGACTGAAGGTATATTTATTTTTCGATTTGTGGTCTAGCGGTTTTCAGCCTTAATATCCATGGTCGCGGGTTCGATTTCTTGCACTTGTCTGGTTGTTTCATGTTTTGAAAAAAATGTTCTGAAATATTTATATGAATTGTCTAGTAACCATAATACTGGCTCTGCTTAGCTTGGGATTAGAAGGCATTATATGAATTGTCTGGGAAATTGAATGAATTAAATTTAGACAGACCGACAATTGAATAAAATGTACTAATTCGGAATATGTTCTAGCTCTCCTACTAAAATACACTAAATATTTTAGTCCTCTCTTAGAACAACAATGACGTCCCAGAGTGGAATAGCCACGGAAAGACGTTGATATCATTTATAACACTATTAAATTGCTTGTGCTTTGCATTTGCTTACACTATTAAAGTAGGCTATTCGTTTTTACCTAGGTAGACTTTATAAAAAGTAGTCTATGCCTACCAATTTCACTCGCCAAGCAACATACATACTGCAACTGCAGCGCCAACTAAAACAAAGCCTGTTTTATAAGCTGTGTTTCAGTTCAAGGCAGCAAAATTACAGGATAAGAGGCATAACATTATAGTCCTCTGAATGGTAACGCATGAGTGGTATCCGCAGGGGCAGATCGTGAATTTGTGGGGCCCTGGGTAAAATGTACTTAGGAGGCTACCTAATTTTATTACTCAACTAAAACAAGTAAAATAACAACTAAAAACAAGCGACCAGAAATTCCCCGTTCCTTTCGATAGATGCGCACTTGCATAGATTGATTGGATCTCAGGGTTGACAACCTTATGATAGGTTTTTTAACATTCTAGATTTTTTTTATATTCTAAATATCGTCTCAGTAGGGACTGGGCCCTTTGTATCATCGGGGCCCTGGGCTGCAGCCCAAAAAGCCTTTAGGTGGTGATACTGTACATGTACATATAGGCGGCGGCAATTATTACTATTTAATTATTTATTTATTGGAAGTTCTACGTATTAACTTACTGAGTTATTGTTTACAAAAAAATCTTATCTCATCTAAACCCTAATCAAGATCAAAGTTAGGTTAAAAATGAAGACCTGAAAACACTGTATGCACAATGGAATTGAGGATGCGTGTAATCGCGCTTAGATAATGGTATTGATTACGTACATAGGTAAAATAAAACAAAAAAATTAATCTATTCACGGGGATTTCCACCGTTTTGGCATAGATCAGAGGATCAGACAGATATTATTTTTGGGGCTTACCTTCATGATTACGTATTTTCTGCAAGCTCACATTTTACTTAGTGCTGATTTCTCGAGCGTGATCTACATTAAGTAACTATTTGCGCAATGTGCATGTTCTTTATTTATTAATAAATAGTATAATATTAAAATATAGCATATATTTTAATTTCTTTCTTGTAATACTAAATAATATTTGTAAGTGGTAAGTGCTAATTTTCTTATTCTTCTGGTGTTTACTTACTATTTGATTAAGTAAAGGATTTCCGTTTTTCAATGAAAAACTATCAAATTGAACTGTAAACTATTAGAATATATAAATTTTCTGGATGATTTTCGGTTATTGAGAAATAAGGCTTTAAAAAATTCAAAGATCAGAATCATGCATTACCATTCATGCCCTATGGATGGTATAAGGAAAGGGGTCTATCTTTGTAAGTTTTTATTATAAATGTAAAACTCGGATATAAAAATTCATTTACAACTGTACACATTGGTACTAGTAAAGTGCTTTCAAATGATATATGATATTATTTGAAATATCAGTCTTCTATAGTAAAAAACATTATTCAACATTTTCTACTTTTTTTATGTGATAATCGTCGCTTATACGTATATGAATATCACGAAGGACATCACGTTATCATATGACGGACGTAATACCGCTTATGCTTTTCCATAGCGGAAGATATGTCATCCCACTTATCATGTAATTTCACTGTCCAATCTTATAGCCCAAGAGCCCACGACGGCCAGACATACGTCATTTTAGTAAACGTGAAAGTTCTTGTATGTGTGTCCCCAACACAGGTAAGAACGATCCCCAAACATGAAACCTGGATCGTGGTTCCTTTGGCAGGTAACAGGTAACAAAGGTGTAAAAATTTTCATATCAAATTCGTTATTTTAAGAAACTCCATATTTTCATATATTGTTCGTAGCATTATTATAACTTGCGCTGCTCATTGCCAGACACTTAGTGTGGTTCCCGCCGGACCCCCCTAAACTATACTATTTTATAAATAAACTTACGTCATTTTAATAAAGCTGAACTTTATATATATTATTGAGATTTCTCTCAAACTGAGTTTCCTAAATTGCCAGACAGTTTTCTTGGTTCCTTATCCTACCAGACTCATTGAAACCGTATATTGGGTAACAACGGTGTACACAATTTCATATCAAATTCGTTATTTTAAGATGCTCCATTTTTTCACATATTGCTCGTAACAGTATTATAACTTGCTCTGCTCGTTGAAAATGACTGGCCGTCGTGGGCTCTTGCTCTATTACCCTACAATTGAAACTGATTTATAAAAGCAAACTGTTTTGCATCTGAAATAGGCGAGACTATGGTCACCTGTACCTGTTCATTTATTCATTCAACTATTCTAGAAATATAACGCTGTAATGGATTCAAAAATACATATTTATGTTGAATGATATGTCTATTATCAAGTAATAAGGGCATACCAACATTGTTATTGAGACTTCATGACGTGATAACATATTCGTTAACTATTAGGTATTTATGGCCGCGAAATCGAGCAAAGTATATGTAAGAAGACTTGTAAATGTTGATGGTGTAATAAATTTTATTAGCGATTACAACTTACCATTACGGTATCTATATGTCTTAACGCCTGGTCCCTAACAGAGTAGACAAAAATCACTTATCTGTCTGCCGGTTGGCTGCTTTACGAAATGAAAGTTCATTTACGATATGACATCTTTTTAATGTGAGTAAATTCTATCAGGAACATCCGCTCGCCTCACAGATCGCTCGTCAACTCAACGCCTCCTTTACAGTTCTTCAGGGTTTGGCCGCCTCAGATAACCATACAGACGCACGAGAATAGCTTTCCTATTAACTGACCTATTTAATTATTTCTTTATGTGTTAATGATTCAGCAATAGACTATGCAGAGCTGGTCGTGAAAGGTATATCGAGTCAAAACCCAGGTAGACTATTCATGGAACTGAACTGCTTTCACCAAAAATCAATTTGGAAAAATAGAAAATAATTTTTAAATTATATTAACTATTATATTCTATTCCTTCCACCCTTTATGAATGACGTAATTGATGGATGATATCCCTGATTACTTGCTACTATGGGTACACCTTAGAAACAAGTGAATTAATCAGTTCCCTGATTACAACTTTGTTGAAAAACTTTATTCCGTACCTTCTGAGAAGAACTAAATATATAATACTATATACCTACAAGATTTCATGTAATTACAGATTATATTATTATGAATAATTTTCTTATGTGTTTCTTTTTGTTTTAGATTAATAACAATAAAAGAAAATAAGACAGGAAACAATGGATGCATATTTAAATGAAATTATTCGTAAACATATCAAAATTACAAAACAAGAAAGATCTCATAACAGGCAGATAGTTGACGCAACTGTAAAGGAAACATTAAAGATAATGCGAGATAAAGACTCTCTATTCAACAGTATGAACCCATCCATAGCCTATCTGGGCAGCTATTATGATAGATTGCGAGTTGGACATGCCACAGAATTTGATATTAACATAGTTTTAAAATTGCCGATTAATTATAAGAATATTGTACTAAATGCATCCAATATGGAAGCTTACACTTTTGTTGAAATGCCATCAGAGTTTCGAAGATTGTCTAAAATTCCAATAACAGCAACAAATGGATTTACAGAAACTAAATTCTGGTGTGATAGACAACACCGTTTGTCTGTCCAGAAATTTCGATCATGGATGCAAAGCGTTTTGGATAAAGCGCTAAGTAGTTTACCTAAACGAGGTGAAAAATATCTAATACAAGTGAATAATAAAATGTTTCCAATACTGGCAAAATTATCAGGACCCGCAAATACTATTAGTATATACGATAATAATAACATTATTGATATAGATTTAGTTCCTACCTTTACATTTAATTTAAATCTAAACAAACCTATTAATTGTAAAGTTGATTTCACAAAAAACGTGTTTCATAAAATAAAGAAATATTATATTGTACCCAAACCAACTGATGATGAATATATATGGAGGCTGGCATTTCCATCTCAAGAGAAAGCAATAATGTGTAAAAAGAACAATTTTAAAAATGCTGTGAAGTTGATAAAGCTTTTAAGGGATACTCAAGAATTTAATAAATTATCAAGTTATTATATTAAAACAGTATTTCTGTGGGAAATCACAAAAAAGTCTGATGAATTCTGGAAAGGTTCACTCTCAGTTCTATTGATTCACATGTTAAAAATACTTCGAGATCATATAAAAAGAAAAGAAATAAGAAATTATTGGTCACCAAGACATAATTTGCTTGAAATGATTAAAGAAGAAACAATGCATAATTGGTGTAATAGACTAAGCTTTATAATTCATGATATAGAAAAAAATAAAGAAAAAAATCCTTCTATAGTAATAAAACATTTTACAAAAGCCGACGAAGGCAAGTCGTAGTGTCGACGAGCGCATAACGAGGATTTCATACTCCTAATACAATTTTTGAAATTTCGGTTGTAAAACAGAACCTTAGAATTTTTAATTAATTAGAAATGAATTAGAAAAAGAGTGGCCTCTCAAAACAAAGATACTCGTATAGAACAAATAGAGGAAATAAAAAATCAGTTATTTCATTTGAAAGAAAAATGCTTATTATGTTATCGATTTGTTTGAAAAATTTTGGCCAGTGAAGTGCGTATGCGGTTATTATCTGCTGCATTCCGCGAGAATATCCCGTAAAAAAAGTATTTTGTATATGTAACAGAATTACCCCAAATTATTTTCATTACATAATCATGGGTTAAGCCCTTAAGGCAGTAATATAGTTAGCGATTCCAATTAGAAAAAGGACTTAGAAAAAAATAATGTAAAAACTTTCAAGAAGAATAATTAAATAATGTATGTAAGGACAAGTATTATAATTAAGTACCTACATATGTACAATAAAATAATTACACGATCTTTGTATTTAAAAATGTAATTATATTTGTTCAATGTGTTTCGAATCAGTTATGGATGTTTTGAAAACTATTGACCCCAGTGCTGGCACTTTTCCGGACAGGAAGTCAGCTGCCAGGTTGTTTAATACAGTATAAACAAGAGTTTAATACACCATCAACAAATCGTCATGCTAGGGGGGGAAGGGGATTGTTAGTAATGTCGACTTATGATCTCATTGCTAACAATGTACCTGGTCAGGTCGATCTCCACGCGGTTCCCACTGGAAACCATCCTTATAAATTCTTGATGAATTTGGTTGAATGAAGTTTAGGACTAATTTCATTCAAGAACGGCACTGCTGATTAATTGGACAACCTGGATATGTTTTTCAGTTGTTCACAATGTAATTTTATACTAATATTATCCTTATCCTTACTAATCCTTACCAATATTATAAATGCGAAACTAACTCTGTCTGTCTGTCTGTCTCGCTTTCACGCCAAAACGACTGAACCGATTTAAATGAAATTTGGTACACATATAGTCTAGACCCTGAGAAAGGACATAGGCTACTTCTTAATGCGAAAAAAGGGTTGTAAGGGGTTGAAAGATTGTATGGAAGAATCGTCATTTTTGAAGCTAGAAGCTTGAAACTTATTTCTGAGGCTGCTAATTAAATATAAATAGATATGATATACAAAATTTTTAAAAATTTTACCCTTAAGGGGGTTAAATAAATTAGGGGATAATTTTTTTCGTCGTTGTTGAAGATAGCAGCTTGAAACGCATTTTTGGGGCTGTTTATTAAATATAAATAAATAGGCCATCAAAGTTTATAAAAATGTTACCCTTAAGAGTGTAAAATAAAATAGGGGATGAAAGGTTTTATGTAAATTCGTCATTTTTGAAGCTAGAAGCTTGAAACTTATTTTTGAGGCTGTTGATTAAATATAATTGAATATGACAGTCTCCAGCAAGGTGGACCGACGATCTGGTCAAGATCGCTGGAAGGCATTGGATGCGAGCAGCGCAGGACCGATCGTCGTGGAGATCTTTGGGGGAGGCCTATGTCCAGCAGTGGACGTCTTCCGGGCTGCGATGATGACAGTCAAAGTTAGTAAAACTGTTACCCTTAAATGGGTAAAATAAAATAGGGGATGAAAGTTTTTATGTAAATTCGTTATTTTTGAGACTGTTGATTAAATATAAATGAATATGACAGTCAATTTTTCTAAAAAGTTACCCTTAAGGGGAAAAATAAAATGGGGATGAAAGTTTTTATATAAATTCGCCATTATTGAAGTTAGAACGATGAAACTTTATTCATTTGTTATTTGAGTTAGTTTATATAAAATACCTTACTAATATTCTAACTGTGAAAGTAACGTAAAAGTGTGTTTGTCTATCTGTCTCACTTACAGGCCACAACTACTGAACAGATTTGAGTGAAATTTGGTACACAATTAGTCTAGATCCTGAAAAAACACATAGCATACTTTTGAATGCAGATATGGGTTGTAAGGAGGTTGAAATGGTAGATGCAAGGTTGAATAAAGGCAACTATTGAAGTGTCGTATAAATGTAGCTATTGACGTGTCGTATAAAGACAGCTATTGACGTGTCTGAAATAGAAATAGAAATAGAAATAATCTTTATTCAAATAAACTCATTACAAGCACTTTTGAATAGTCATATTTTGATTCTACCACTCATTCGGAATGCAGATTCATCACAAGAAGAATGAGCAAGAAACTTGTGTGTTGCTCTTTTTAATAGATGTTTTTTTTTATATAAATAATTACAGTATAACAAGTAAGAGGCATGCGATAATCAACATAGAAGTCGCTACGCACTCATTATTAATGTAATCAGATAATATTGTCAGTGCTATAGATTTAAAGTTTTTCTATAAAAACATTATTATCGTTAACGAATTCTTCAATTTTATAGTAAGCTTTTTTGCAAAGGAACTGTTTTATTTGACATTTAAATCTTTTTTCTGGCAGATTTATAACAGACTCTGGTATTTTATTGTAAAACCTAACGCAATTGCCATAAAACGAATTACTAACTTTAGCCAAACGACATTTAGGTAAAATCAGTTTGTTATTGTTACGTAAGCTTTTATTAGTGCAATCACTAACTCTTTTGAAACTGTCTATATTCCTTCTGGCATAGATGATATTTTCATAAATGTATTGAGAAGCAACGGTGAAGATATTTGATTCCTTAAAACACTCTCGCAATGACTCCCTGGAACCCATACCATAAATGGAGCGAATGGCCCTCTTTTGTAAAATAAATATTGTATTTATATCAGCTGCTTTGCCCCATAACAAAATACCATACGACATAATGCTATGGAAATAGCTAAAATAGACAAGTTTAGCCGTTGCCACGTCTGTTAATTGTCTAATTCTTCTTACCGCGTAAGCGGCAGAACTAAGTCGACTCGCCAATTTAGTAATATGAGCACCCCATTGCAACTTGGAATCTAATGTGATACCTAGAAATACAGTATCGTCAACAAAATTAATAGATTTATTGTCCAATACGATTTTTGAATCTACCGGCCTTACATTGGGGAGAGTAAATTTGATACATTTAGTTTTATTTGCATTTAGTAGCATATTATTTGCCGTAAACCATTTTAAAACATAAGAGAGGGAACCGTTTACTTCGTCCATATCATCAATATGTCGATTGACTTTGAATACTAATGAAGTATCATCAGCAAACAGAACTATGTCAGCTATCTTTTCTACCATATAAGGAAGATCGTTTATGTAAACTAAAAATAAGAAAGGACCTAGAATAGAGCCCTGAGGAACACCCATTTTAATACTAGTTCCCTCAGACTTTACACCATTTATTTCAACAACTTGCATTCTATTATTTAGATAGGATTTCATCATGCATAGTGCTTCATATCTAATACCGTAATATTCTAATTTGAGTAAGAGTGTTTCATGATCAACGCAATCAAATGCTTTTGAGAGGTCACAGAATACAATGTCGTATATAGACAGCTAATGACGTGTCGTATAAAGACCGCTATTGACATGTATATAGGTAGCTATTGACATGTCGTATATAGGTAGCTGTAAACGTGTCGTATAAAGGCAGCAGACACAATATACATACACAGTAAACACCCAGATTGATACAAACAATCATACTCATGAATACAAATGTTTGTGCCGTATGAAGAATCGAACCCGCGACCATCCAAAATAAAGCGCTACCAGTGTGCTAAACCGCTAGACTAGATCATCGAGGTCATTATATTTACATGGAAATTTATTTTAGAAGGTTGTATTATCAGGCCCTCTATTTTCACTATGAGATATAGATTTTATACAGCTACTTAGTATAGTCGATTAAAAGATGCGGTTAGTAATATCACAGATAACATAATAGGTAATATTATAAAACGATAATATTTTAAGCCACGTTATTAATATTTTTATATCGGCAAAACGCCGATATTCCAAAGCGTAAAGATGTCAAGTAAAAAACAAGTGTACGGCCATTTTATTTTTTGAATATCGCCATTTCATTTCTGTCGTGAGATGGAAAATTGTAATGTTGTAATTGTAAAGTGAGATAGAAATAAAATACTTTGATCCATAAAAGCATTAATATTGTAGAAAAGCTCATTTATAACATAATTTAGATTGCATATAGGTAAGCTTCAATTAAAATAAGGATTAGATATTTAAAATACTCTTTCTAAATCTGTAAACTTGGCGTCTCTTCACTTGTCAGAGTGCAATGGCGTCCGTTTACTCGAAGCGCGTCTAAATATATTCCGTCATCCTTTTCTTACATATATCGACTATTCAGGAAACACCGTTTTCCTCGAACGATCTTTTTACGAATAGAGTAGACTGATAAGAAATATTCCCCGTTACCTTCACACTTTGTTTTGTAGTTTCTCTTTCGTGTGTGACACTAAATACGATTAGCCGCGCTTTTAGAAATGACAAATTGTTGTGGGTTATATTGCAGATATGCACATACAGTGTGTGAACAAAAAAGTGTAATGAAGTAGCCATATATTATAGTTGAGTGTTCAAGATGTTCACCACCAACGCCGTGCAAGCCGGCACGGTACCGACCCTTCAATACCAGGAACACCCAACACAGAAAGCACAAGGGAAGAATATTGAGACTGTACAGCAAAAAAATGCACAACAAACTCAACAAAATCAGCAACAACAACAGGTACCAAACCGTAATTATGATCAAAGTTATGTTAATTTAACAATATTTTGTTAGCTATATTTAAGTGCCAACTAAATTGGTTTGTTATTATTTTTTTGGACTGTATATTACATTGCTTTTTAAGGGCATTTAATAGTATAAACTTAGATTTTCTCTAAGTTTATGTTCAAAACAAATAAAACAAAGTAGTTAAAATTTTTGAGTTCTCTGCTTCATTGTTTTATCTCTCAGTTTAAATATCAAGCTAAATGATTTAAGCATAATCATACTAAATTCTAATTTTTTTTTGTTTCTATTGTAATCACTGAATAAATAGTAATTTCTTTGTTCTGTATGGTTTGAGATGGACTAAAGTTTGGGGCAGGTACATTTATGTTGGGAAATTAAAGTTTTAACAAAATACCAAAGTTATTTTTAGTTTCTAGATCACACTAGTAAGTAATACAAATGTAATTATTAGTATTTATATATTTTAAGTTTCATTAATTTAAATCAAAATATACAGTGGTGTAAAAATAATATATTTGTCAAAGAAACAATTTTGCTAGTGTGCGGCCATTGCAATATTTGTGTAGACAATACAGAGACATAATGATTTTATTTAATTACAGGAATTTCCTACATTTTGCTATACCACAAATGTAAACATGATTGGCAAGATTGGTACGGGTACAACCAGTGGTACTGGAGGGGTTGCGGGCAGTGTCAATATAGCTCAACTAACTACAAGTGATGACAAAACATGTTACATCGCACAACCATTCTCTTACAACTACGCCCTGGTGAACCAAATGCAAATAGCCCCAAATGGAATCCAAAACACAATCTCAAACATAAGTTTTAAATGTGATGTCTGTGGTCTCATGTTTGGCCACCTTAGTTTACTCAATTCCCACAAAAGGATACATATTCAAGATACAGGTAAATAGTAATTATTAATTAAAAAGAAAATTCATATGGGTATATAATTTTTCTCTTTACATAAAGTTGATGCCACTGTCTGTTTGCTTATATTTTTGATGAAATAATGCAGTTTTCAACAATAGATTGACATAAAGATTATAATGTAGAAGCCAATAAATTAAAATTAAAATTAATGCATCTAATAATCACGACTGGATACATTAATTTTTTTAGAGCAAACATCCAGTTTAGTTTTTTAACTAGGTATTTAGCACTAAATTTTTTGCTATTTTTATAATTTTACAAAATGTTACAAATGTCGTAAGTGTTGGTGTGATGTTCTTTTCTCTTTAGTTCTCTTAGTTTTGACACATATATATACTATTTTAAATCCCTTTATTTATATTTCTGTTCCAGATAGCAATATAACAGTAGTAACAACTGGTGTGAGTGCTAACAATGAAGTGACCATGCCTCCACATATACAAATACTCTCGTCCGACCCTAATGAACAACAGCAGCAGCACCATGTGCAGATTCAAGACAGTAATACACTTTTATTAGAAGACATAATATATACACCTTCTTTATAATTCAACTGAGGACTCAACAACCTTTGTGATCCAGCAGTATATCATAGCATACACCTTTATTTCAATAGTTGCAAGTTCAATTTGTCACATGATGCCAACATTTGTATTTATTAGTATGATTATTGGTATTGTTTTAGTTCTAAATATATTTATAATATACAGAGAAAACTGTATATATTATAAATATATTTTTAGAAAAAATATTTTTTTTATCAGTTGGGTTGTAACCATAACACAGCTCTGCTTAGCTTGGGACCAGATGGCTGTGTGAATTGTCCAGGGTTATTATTGTTATATATTACACAAATTAAATACCAATGAAAATTTTGTATTTTGTTTAAAAATCTACTTGCTGAAACAAAATAAATTTCGAATTTCTTTTAAAAGTATGATCTGACACAACAACAATAAGTAATTTTTTTCTCATTTTCTAAAACTAAAACTATTTCACTTCAGGTTATAATATTTTGTCCTTATTGTGAGACAATACTGTTATAAATTTTTTAGGTGTATTAGGTATATGATTGAAAGAATATTTTTAATAAATTAATATAATGTGGTATGATATCTAAGTTCACGACTTAGATATCATACCACCTAATGAATAAATATAACATGTAACTAAAGGTAACTAAGTGTTAACATAATGTATATTAATATTTTCTTCCAGCAAAACCAGTTATAATAGATAAAGTACAGAAATGCATTACTTGTGGAGGTCCCATTGCTAACAACCCTAAAAGGAAAGGCCCGAAACTTATAAGATGCGAGAATTGTATTGCTCAGGATACTGTAGAACAGAGAAATAACCAGAGTATGTATTATTTATTTCTTTAATAATACAATTATAAGTCATGTAAATTGTTCTGTTACAACTTTAGAAATATATTGCCTGTATATATATCTGTATATATATCAGTCATATTTAATAAAGAGTATTAGCATGTATTTTTATTAAAAACTAGTTCTGCCTACAGTTTCACCCATGTGAAATCTATACCTCAATTCAGTAGTTTGTTTGAAAGCGTAACAAACATCTATCCATATTGAGAAACTTTCGCGTTTATAATAATAGTAAAATTTGCTGTTACCCATGGCTTAATCCATATGGAATTTACATTTTTTTTTTGTTAAAATAAATAAAATTTCTAAAATAGAAGTAGATTAAGTTAATCCTTGTTACACTATATATGTGTTATACATTAGTAAAAAAATCCGTAAAATCTATCCAGCCGTTTCAGAGATTAGCAAGAACAAACAAACAGACATAAGTTTTTTAAAATTAATATTTTGATGTAAATGCCATATATTTATTAAGGAAAGGCTGTTAATTTGAAATTATAAATAAATACTTAAATTTTGTTTACTTGTATAGATATTCCTTTAAAAATCAGGCAGATTAGAAATAATAAATTTATCAATTAACACACATACAGTTTCATTCTAGACTAGCTGTTCCCGCGACTTCGTCCGCGTGGAATTTAAGTTTATTTTTCTAAAATAAAAGTAGGCTAAGTTACTCCTTATTAACATTAGCTACCTGCTAAAAAAAGTTCCATCAAAATCGGTCCAGCCATGTCAGAAGTTAGCCGGAACAAACTGACAGACAGAAAAATTCTAAAAAAAAAAAAAATTTGGTGTATGTACCGTATTTATAGTCATATGCATGTAGTAAAAAACGGTTGTTTCAATATTACAAACGGACACTAATTTTATTTATACTATACATATAAATAAAATTATATGTATTACGTAAAAAGGCATGCCAACTCAGTAATTTAAATCTCAGGGACTAAATTACAGCTGGGTAGCACTGTACCTGCTATATAGATTTGATGTATCATAATTATTTATTTTAGATGATTAGTTTTAAAGTTTTGCTACGAAGTTTGTACAACATATTTTACTCGGTTAATAGGTAAATTTATTACTTAATAATGTCTAATAAAGGCACAACATTATTTAAGAATCATATAGAGCTGTAAACATGGGTAATGTTAAGTCTCTGAGGTAAAAAGCAGATTTGATTTTAATTGGATTTGTTAATTGTTTGCTATCCATTTCACAGTGAATTCTACACAAGTTTTCGTTGCATCAGAAGACAACGTGAAGTTCGAAGTGAGCGGCGTCAGCAGTATCCAACCGGCAAGTGATCCCCTAGCAAATAACCAGACCACTCAACAATCGCAGCAGCAACAAAAACCTTGTAAGAATATAAAAAAAATCATTAGAATTATTGTGCATAAAATTCAATCAATAATTCTTAACAAAGTTTCGATACACCCTATTGATTGCAAAATTGACGAACAATTGTGAAAATATACGTATATTATTATACTACCGTTATCTGGTGTCTTGGGACGCGACCATGTTTGGTCAGCATAAAATGTGTAAGCGTAGCATGTGGGCTGGCCCACTTACACTCCTAACAGGAGTCATAGATTTTGTGACATCACAATTAAATTTTGGTATTAAAACACGTAATTTTAACTATTAATATGTAATTACCGATGACATGCCACACGTGGTACCCCCATGTGGTAAGAATTACTGCATTGGTGTAACATTATTTATGGATTCAAATATTGTAATATTATATTTCATTTTATGCTTTATTACAGTACCTGGTCACCATCCTGTAAAGAAACGGAACTTAGCCGCTGTAACAAAATGTCAAAACTGCAATGGCTCTGGAATTATTTTTGTTGGTGGAAATAAAAGTAAACTAAATCAATCAAATATGGACAAACCATTCCATTGTAACATATGCGGCGGTTCATTCTCTAGGTATTCTTCATTATGGTCACACAAGAAATTGCACTCTGGGGAGAAGAATTTTAAATGTGGTATATGTGGTATCGCGTTTGCTAAAGCTGTTTATTTGAAAAATCATTCCCGAATTCACACAGGAGAGAAGCCATATAGGTGAGTAGACAATAGACATGTACCTTAGCGGATGAAGGATCAATTGTTATAATATACCAGTATATTATAATCACATTGTTTAACTTGTGTCATCATTATGATCTTACTGTTAAAACTTTACAGTGTATATTACTGTAAAGTTTTAGCTGGAATATCACATAGTGTATAATTGAAAAAGCTATGTAAATTTGGGTGAATTGTAATGATAATTATTAAGATACATATGATACGATATACAAAAAAAAACAAATATTTTTTGGTGTTTGTTTGTAAATAGATGAGAAAGTGTAAAAAAACTTTCAGTTATAGAATAAATTATTATCAGAGACTATTTATTTATCCTTGCAGATGTAATACTTGCGGTATGCAATTTTCTCAATCGCCACATCTAAAGAACCACGAAAGAACGCATTCTGGAGAAAAACCATACGTTTGTGAGGTAATATACCTTAATACTCTATTATTGCATTAAGTACTAATTGGTTACTATGTAGGGAGAGTGATATAGAGACATATGCAAATCGACACCCTAAGGCCCCGTTTTTCTGCAATATAAAATATGCAAAGTGCTGTGTGTGTCAATATATAATTGCAAAAAAAAGTAATTTTTCACTCAACTTTCTACATTTGTTTAAAGTTGTGTCTATGATTTGAGTGTTCGTAGGACAAAAAATAACTATAAGGAATGTGTTACATTTCAAGACTGATACAGATTTAAATTATAATTTCATTCCTAAAATATACCTGATTATTGTTTGCATCAGCAATGGTAAATCATTTAATTGCAAATGGTTATCGTTTAATTAGTTTCTCTTTTTTTTTTTTCGTAGAGTTATTAAGGCATTGATTAATGTAGTTTTGTTGTGTCCAGTGTCCATTGGCTGAGGGGCCTAATGTCTGGTTAAATAGTACATTGTGAATGGTCAGACTTTAGTTTTCTTCATTGGCATTAAACCTGCAGTGAATTTTGAATAATATAAAAAGGTTATATATATAATTGTTTGATGCAGTATATTAACAGACATGGTAGTTGTATGTATATGTATAGCAAATAAAGTAACTATTTTAACCGCAATAAAAACTATATCTCATGCATATAAAAAGCCCTGTGATAGTTATACATTTGTTTTTAAATCCCATTTAAACTTGTTGTTTTATTTTTAACTCCTTATGTAAAAAGAGGGGTGTTATAAGTTTTATGTGTCTGTGTATATATATGTACCTGGTAACTCCTAAATGAATGGACCTATATTGATGCTGTTTTTTTTGTTTAAAACCAAATGAGATCGAAAGTATTGTTAGATACAATTTATTTGTCTTTTTATATTTGGGGATTACTTGAAATTTTAGTTTAGTTAGTTAACTTTTCTAATTTATTTATATACATTAAACATAACACAGGTCTGCGACAAAGGTTTTGCGAGACACGCAACATTGTGGAATCATCGGCGTATACATACGGGGGAGAAACCTTACAAGTAAGTGATAAGTATGCTCATATACAATATTAATTTGCATGGTACGGTTCAAAACACGAAGGATTCCGAACTAAAAAGGTAGTGGAATGTAAACTTTCTATTGTTGGCAATGACGAGAGGTATTAAATTGAGTTTATATCAAGCTCAATTTCATACCTCTCGTCACAGTTTTAAATTATTTATGAAGTTTAATAGAAATAGAAATAATCTTTATTCAAATAAACTCATTACAAGCACTTTTGAATAGTCATATTTTGATTCTACCACTCATTCGGAATGCAGATTCATCACAAGAAGAATGAGCAAGAAACTGGTGTGTTGCTCTTTTTAATAGATGTTTTTTTTATATAAATAATTACAGTGTAACAAGTAAGAGGCATGCGACAATCAACATAGAAATCGCTACGCACTCATTATTAGTGTAATCAGATAATATTGTCAGTGCTATGTATTTAAAATTTTTCTACAAAAACATTATTATCGTTAACGAATTCTTCAATTTTATAGTAAGCTTTTTTGCAAAGGAAGTGTTTTATTTGACATTTAAATCTTTTTTCTGGCAGATTTATAACAGACTCTGGTATTTTATTGTAAAACCTTACGCAATTGCCATAAAACGAATTACTAACTTTAGCCAAACGACATTTAGGTAAAATCAGTTTGTTATTGTTACGTAAGCTTTTATTAGTGCAATCACTAACTCTTTTGAAACTGTCTATATTCTTCCTGGCATACATGATATTTTCATAAATATATTGAGAAGCAACGGTGAGGATATTTGATTCCTTAAAGCACTCTCGCAAAGACTCCCTGGAACCCATGCTATAAATGGAGCGAATGGCCCTCTTTTGTAAAATAAATATTGTATTTATATCAGCTGCTTTGCCCCATAACAAAATACCATACGACATAATGCCATGGAAATAGCTAAAGTACACAAGTTTAGCCGTTGCCACGTCTGTTAATTGTCTAATTCTTCTTACCGCATAAGCGGCAGAACTAAGTCGACTCGCTAATTTAGTAATATGAGCACCCCATTGCAACTTGGAATCTAATGTGATACCTAGAAATACAGTATCATCCACAAAATTAATAGGTTTATTGTCCAACGTGATTTTTGAATCTACCGGCCTTACATTGGGGAGAGTAAATTTGATACATTTAGTTTTATTTGCATTTAGTAACATATTATTAGCCGTAAACCATTTTAAAACATAAGAAAGAGCACCGTTTACTTCGTCCAAATCATCAATATGTCGATTGACTTTGAATACTAATGAAGTATCATCAGCAAACAGAACTATGTCAGCTATCTTTTCTACCATATAAGGAAGATCATTTATGTAAACTAAAAATAAGAAAGGACCTAAAATAGAGCCCTGAGGAACACCCATTTTAATACTAGTTCCCTCAGACTTTACACCATTTATTTCAACAACTTGCATTCTATTATTTAGATAGGATTTCATCATGCTTTGTGCTTCATATCTAATACCGTAATGTTCAAGTTTGAGCAAAAGTGTTTCATGTTCAACGCAATCAAATGCTTTTGAAAGATCACAAAATATACCGACTGCATCCTGAGACCTCTCCCAAGAATCAAATATATATTTAATGAGAGCTACATCGGCATCAGTAGTTGATTTACCTGCCTTGAAACCAAATTGTCGACTGTGAAGCAGTTTATTTACTTTAAAGTTTTGCAGCATTTGATTGAGCATAATTTTTTCAAACACTTTACTCAATAGGTAAGATAGATATAGGCCTATAATTACCTACCACAGTTTTTTCTCCTGACTTAAAGAGTGGAGTTATTTTGCTATGTTTCATTAAATTGGGAAAAACACCATCAGAAATACATTTATTGAAAATAATTACTAAATATGGAGCAATAACATCTATAGCGGTGTTAATAACTTTAACAGACATGCCCCAATGGTCTACAGTATTTTTTAAATTTAATTGTTTAAATGTTTTAGTAATTGTAGCAATGTCAATAAATGTAAATTTAAATGTAACCGGACAAGAAACAACATTATCAATAAGGAATGATTTAGCTGTACTAGGAGAAGAGTCCAAAGAGGAAGTAATATCAGTTGGAATATTAGCGAAAAAATTTTCAAAAATATTGACAATTTCTTTTGTGGAGGTTACTAGTTTATCATTATAATTTAACGTAAAATTATATGGACTTTTAACTTTGCCAGTTTCTTTGTTAATAATATTCCACACTGTCCTTATCTTATCCTTGGACTCTTTAATTTTTTTATTTAGATAATTAGACTTTGCTTTATGTAATGTACATACCTTTTTAAAAGTTTTTGAGTATCTTTTTACATAATTTACGAATGTACTATCGAAACGGTATTTTTTTTTAGCATATAAATCAAATAATATATTTCTACTTTTAAGAATTCCCTTTGTAGCCCATTCTGAAAATTTTGTTTTGTTAATAATACTGATAGTTTTTTTGTTAAAAGCCTTATTATATTCGTTAGAAACAATATTGAAGAAATCTGTATAAAGTTTGTTAGGTTCATTAGATGGAAGATAAAAATCTAATTTACTACGCACTGATATTTTAAATTTATTTATCTTATAACTAGTCAAGTCTCTTTTTAATAAATTAATTTTCCCAATTTTGTTTAAGTGATTTGGAAAAATAACTATTTGACCACAGTGATCAGAAGTAAGTTTAATGAGGCGCCGTGATAATATTTTCATTATTTTGTATCGAAGGTTGTTTATTATTATTTTATCTAAATACTCACTGTTGCTAAATATGTTATCCAAGCAAGTAGCAGACGTGGCAGTGATACGAGTGGGTTCGTGGAAGACATTACTCAAGTCAAAGGATTGAAATAAACTCATTAATTTAGTTTTTGTGGTATTATATGATAAAATGTCAACATTGAAATCACCACACACTATAATTTTTTTGTTAATATTAAATACTCTTTTTAAAATATCCTCCATTACCTCTTCAAATAAGTTATAATCACTATTTGGAGGTCTATATACACATATAACTATATAATTGTCTAGTTCCACACAGGAAATTTCAATACAACATTCAACAGAAAGATTGCCAATATCACTACGTTCTTTTACTTTTATATTATTTTTCACCAATATCATGGAACCTCCTCTATTTACTATTTTTCTATTAAAGCAGCTGACAATATTATAATTGTTTAAGCTCAACATCATATTGCTCACTTTGAGCCAATGTTCAGTTAAACATAGAACATCTATATTATTTTTTTCTAAAAACAATTGAATAATTAATTCACAGCCGAGAAAACTTTGTATGTTCTGGTGAACAATTTTCAATTCTGATAGCTTTCCCTTTGTCTTTTTCAGCAGTTTAAATCTGCAGTCATATTTAAATTTTTGTAAATAAAAGAATTCTTACTAGAATCAATATTTATGTCAATATTTTCAGTATGTTGTCTAATATGGTCTGTATATACTCTCATAGATTCGATTACTTAATCCAGGGGTTTTCAATCATATTTGTTTTTCTTTGGCATATAAATTATAGTACTAGGTAATGAAACGTGTGCTGGAGTCTAAATATCATATTATAACTTCGTAGGTGTGAAACATGTGGGTCAGCGTTCAGTCAAGCGGCACATTTGAAGAACCACGCCAAGGTGCATTCCGGAGAGAAACCTTTCAAGTGCGATATATGTACAGCCGCATTTGCGGATCGATTTGCGCTCAAGCGACACAGAGGCATTCATGATAAATATGGTATACATAATTATAATTTGACTCATTTTTATTTAATATTTATAGATATGTAGTCAATATGTAAGTTTGCTGAAAACTACTTATCATTTTACATTTATACAAATTATCAAGGTGTTTATAGAATGTACTAAATTTATAAGTAAATTATTATTATTATGAATAACAAATTCCTACACTTTTTATTATATTTTTTGGAATCAGCTACATTGTAATGCTCATGATAGATACATTTAATTTATAAAACTTTAATCTATAAATAGCACAATAGTACTGAATAATCTGAACCGTTTTAAACTATTCGTTTTAATCCAGGTCAAACTACGCCGCTTCCCTCAAGAATACAGCAAAACCAACAAGAATTACAACAACCAAATCAACAAAGTAATGAACAACAAAACAGTCAAACGGCGGTAGAAGTCGAATCCCGTGATCAGAACCTTTGAGTCGAGAACTAACTTTGAATTTCTCAGAACCCACCCATAACGAAACTAATACTAGCTCTTGAATGGTACACTATTCTTATGACTTGAAGCTACTTGGGGATGAAATCCTAAGGGGGATAGAAGACATCGCCGCTATGACAAGGAATCGCTACTCGGAGCTTGATCACTGCACAGGCAGCAAATTTGACCAGCCACCAAGGTTCACTAGCCACAACCACACAGCTTTCCAGACACCTTATACACACACTTTGTATACTGAGCTGTTACTTATTCATGTAGTCAACTGATATAGAGGCTACGTGAATATTATAATCAGCAAATAATATAGTACCGATTTTTTTATTCATAAAAATAACCTTATATATTATCATTGTTTACAAATGTAACACTTGACTTTACAAATCTTTGGAATAATTAAAACATATCTCTTGTTTAATTCAATAGTATTGCTAATTACCATTATTTTAAAACTATGCTGCCTCAGAATACTGTAAGTTTTTTTTTTGTCTGTGCAATACAATTTTACTGTATGTCGATGGTGTACCATATGTACCTAAACACTCATGACATTTGTGTACATAATTATTAATATACATACAATAAAATGTACAAACAAAAATTATGTCGTGAGACCGAAGATAAAGAGAAAAAAGATTAGTCTGATGTAACAATTTTTCTGACAGTGTAAATATATTAGAACACTTTTTAAATTAGAAGCCTATGTGATTTAGTATTTTAGCATATCCACTGACCCTTAAATTAAGGTTTTGTTATTTATAACGGATGAGTTGACTTAACAATGTGTAAATAGCTAAGTTTAGAATGCATTTTATAAAATACTTTTTTTTTGTTACATTGTAGGCACAGCTCATCCGGCGGCCCATATATACATCATGTGATGTTAAATTAAGTTAGGATTGGAATTTATATTTACTAAATATATTATAGTAAAATTTGTCTAGAACGATAACCAGTTTTATTGCTATACATTATATTAGCTTATATGAATAAATTGCTTTTCGAACGTAAACTAAGTGGGAACTTGGACTTCCATTCAGTTCCAGATTCGTATTCGAAAAATCGAAACATTATTAATAGTTTTTCTAAAATTACATGATTTGATAAATCCATGCCACTGACTAAATTTGAGTAGGTAGTTTTTTTTGGCAAATCCATCTTATGTTTTCATCATTATTTATTTTATTATTTGTGGCAATTAAAGAAATTTCCATTATGTAAGAGATAAGAATGATTGTTTTTATTATACTAGTAAATCGCCTACTCTTTTAAATGGTCAATAACAACTTCAAAACATTAATATAATCCTTTACTTCACACACAACACAAATTGTAATAGAAAGGAAGTATAATAAAGTACAATAGTATAAAGTTACAAACATATAACTGAACAACATAATTATACCTACTCCTACTAGTTATTAATGTAGGTAGGTAACAAACTTAAAAACATAGGTTCTGAACTATTAATCTTATTGTTTGAATGAGTTATTACCAATCCTATTGAAAAAAAGTTTAAGTTGATCATGTTTAAAAAGTTTACTCAAATTCACATCAACTTGTGATATACATACAACTAGATAAGTACTGAATTATTTATTTTAGTGAGTATATATCAATATCAGTAGTAAAATAGTGCCCACTAAATTTGCATTAGAGAACATTTCGTATTCCTCTGTAACAATCTGTTGTCTTTATCATTGTTGAATCTTTACAGGTATAACTAGAATATACATTTAAATTTTAGTATAATATAGTAGTTTGCAGAACTTGCTGGTTTGCTTGTAAGCAATTCTATAATATCATAAGTTAAGTTTTTTTTATTACATATAAAAATAGTGACAGTAGTGTTGTCTGTGTCTATCTTACAAGTAGATTTTATTATTATATTGAAAACAAACTAAAAATTGGTGGAAACATTCCAGATAAAATGGACCAATTGTTAAGTCCACTTATTACTGAAAATAAAAAACAATATAAACTAAGTACACTATCCTTACAGTGTAACTTAATTTTAAAGATTAATTTGATTACATATTTTTGATAAATATGTAGCACCTGTATTGGTGCATAGCTGTATGATAAATATTCCACTTATTTCAATATCAAAGTACAATTAATTTACTAGTAATTTATTTGCGTTATATTACACTGGATATTAATAACTATGGTCCTCTAAAACCACAACTCCTCCATAAGAGCATTTTAAAATAAAAAAAACATCATAAAAATTAAATACATTTATTTTAAACTTAAATAAGTAGCAAATAAAAAATGGAAAGTCGTTAAACATATATTACTCAATTGTAATATTTTACTTATTCATATACCCATGGTTCAGCAGCCGGTGTCCAGCCCACTACCTCTTTGTCAGTGAACCATAGTGAAATTTCTTTGTTAGCAGATTCCACGCTATCTGAACCATGTATGATGTTGCGACCAACCTCTATACAGAGATCGCCACGAATAGTTCCGGGTTGAGAGTCAGCAGGGTTTGTAGCTCCGAGCATCTGACGTCCAGTCTTCACGACATTAAGTCCTTCCCAAACCATGGGTACAACAGGTCCTGAACTCATGTACTTCACGAGACCGGGGAAGAAAGGTTTCGAAGACAAGTCACTGTAATGATTCTTCAGAAGCTCATCAGACGGCCACGTGAATTTGAGAGCCACAAGTTTAAAGCCTTTCTTCTCAAATCGCTCGATAATGGTACCGACGAGTCCGCGTTGAACGCCGTCTGGTTTAACCATAATGAAAGTTCTTTCACGTGGTGCGGCCATTATGTAGTCTGTCAAGGATTGTATAATACGTGTGATGTGGACTATAAGAACGGACAAAGTGGCAATCATCAATGAATAAATGGCAGATAGAACGAAAAGGAAATCCGTTCAGAAGTAAAAATAGATTCCGGCAGTGTTGCCAGGATATATACAATCGATATGTACTAATACATTATAATGATTTAAATTTCTCACGTTCTATACGTGAGAAATTTAAATCATTACTATTAAACGTATTAATATTATTTGAGCTCACATTAATTTTTACATTACATACGTATTAACTTTGTGATTTTATTGTAAACAAGAAATATACAATCTCACATCTGCAATCTGCCTCAATTTATTTTTTCGCTACAGTCACTCTTGCGTCATTGGCATTATTATATTTAATTAATATCCACAATAAATATATTTATTTTCCTTTTTGTAGATTATGTAAATTTTATAAGGCATTGGTTTCTAACTACTAAATGTGTAAACATTCGATTTGCGACTCATAGACTAAAATACAAAAAACTTACCACAGATATTTTTTTTTTCCATATTCGTCCATCTCCTTTTCAGTGATGGAACAGGCAAAGATCCTTAGACCGTACAGCCTAGTCTACTTTTAAACTTCTTCACTTACCACAGATAATAATTAGTGTAGCTACATCCACATACAGAATATTTTTTTAACATAAAAATATTTACGTACAAACTTATATATTTTTATGTTACGATTTATATGAACCATTTGACAATTACAACTGTGAAATAGTATAAATATACATAAATTACTGTAAACATCGCGACTTCATCCGCGTAAAATAGTGATCTTGACCAAATAATGGGAAAATATTTAATGATGCAACCCAATAAAACCAAATAAAAAAATCATCACACTATCTTCAAAAATGACGAACTCTACTCTTTTTCTGTATTTATGTTTAATCAATAGACTAATAAATTAGTTTAAAGCTTCTAACTTTAAAAATGTGTACCAAATTTCATACAAATCGGTTCAGTAGATTTGGCGTGTAAGCGACACAGACAGACAGTTACTTTCACATTTATAATATTAGTAAGGATAAATGAATGATTTTTGTCTTTTTTTTAAACCTTAATAAAAAAAGAATGGTTTGCTGGTGCTTTATATAATTATACCGCGAAATTAGGCAACTCAATGTATGCCTTAGTTGAACCAACATTGTTCCCTAATAACATATCCTACTACAAATGCAGGGCGTTTCTAGTGACACAGTAAATACACATATAGGGGGGAAGGGGATTGTTAATAATGTGGACTCATGACCCCAATACTAGCAATGTACCATGTCAGGTGGACCTCCACGCGGTTCCCCCTGGAAACCATCGTGATAAATTCCTGATGAATTTGTCACAATGGGCTAACTGACCTGACCTCATGCTCATCTTATCATCCTCCACTGGTACCCCACCAGCGTAAACCGTTAGCGCAGGTGGGTGCACCATTCCATTATCATCCATAAAAAAAAATACACATATATCCCTAGGTATATTTATTATACATATTGTTATTTTTACAATTTAGTTTTATGTCTCAATTGCCTTATCCTTTCATACGGTATATCATCTGTTGTTAGTCTCGCGACATATACAGTCCAAAACATGATCATTCACTAAACCACATGCTTGCATGAATGCATAACAGATGGTTGAACCCACAAACTTAAATCCTCTTTTCTTTAATGCAATAGAAAGTGCTGAAGATATTGCATTGCTATTTGGTATGTCTTTAATATTACACCAATCATTTACTATAGGTTTGTTGTTCACAAAACTCCAAATGAATTTAGAGAAATTTTCAGAATTATTTTCCATTTCTGTATAACATTTAGCATTATTAATAATGGCTTCAATTTTACCTTTGTGTCTTACAATGCCCGTATTGCTTAATATTTTTTTTACATCAATGTGGTTTAATTTTGCTACTTTGTAAGGATTAAAATGATGGAACACTTTCCTATAATTTTCTCGTTTTTTCAGTATGGTTATCCAAGATAGTCCTGCCTGTTGTCCCTCTAAGCATAGCATTTCAAATAACCGTAGACTATCATATTCCGGTTTTCCCCATTCATCATCATGATAGGCGATGTAAATGGGATCTTTAGTTAACCATTGACATCTGATTACTTTAGATTCATTTTCGGACATCTTGATATCCCAGCTATATCTGTAATAAAAATAAAACAAGCACTGAGTACAATATTGTTCAGCGGCATATCAGCGCCCGTACAAAACTGTCTGATTATGTGGATTTGCTCTTACCTTAGTTGCTAACAATTCTCAATGTATCTATAATTATCTATACTTCACAGCTACAATTATGAACTGAAGAGCTTAGCAAATAACTAGAATCTCAAAAGCAGATGTAGTCGCTAATAACAGCTTGTAGTTTATATACCAGATAACTTTTTTGCCCTTTGGAGTAAATTAGGGCATACATTTCTTTTGCCAAAAGAACACATGACAATGGTTGATATTAATTGGAGTAAATTAGGAAATACATTTCTTTTGGCATAGTGGCATAACTTATTTCAATCTGTTTCAAATATGAATTGTCAATGAAATAGATTCAATTATGTTCCTTGCTATTAATGTACAACTTAAACTGTCAATAAAAGTATCAACATGATACAACAAAAATTAAATCAATTTGATTTGTTCTACATACACAATACACATACAGAAGATAAGAGAAAAATTTTATGAGTACCAAGCAACTAAGTATGTATATTATACTTAGAGACACCTATTTTCTTAATACATACCTAATATACAAAGAAAACACCCTGACGAATATAAACAATCATACTCATTAATACCAATGTTTGTACTATGTGGTGAGGTGTTCTTAACTGCTAGTCCACCAAGCCCGGCAAGGTAGTTAAAAAACTTTTTATAATGCAGAGAAATTAGGGTATGATATTGGAATGTAAATTATAACATATTCTGATCAAAGAGGATAAAAAAAAATGGAATGAACAGAGTGAGACTTTACCCATCTGTCTGTCTATTTGATTGCAAAATCATATTAATTAGAATAAATACAACCCATCTACTGTAGAAATATAAAATAGTACTTAGTAGATCAGTACTACCAAGTGTTAAAATGACTAACATTTTGAAGAAAATTGAAGAAAATTCATGAAGAAAATTTCAAAATTATAACAGGAGTATAAATTTCATTATAATTGTTTAAACAGTGTCAACAAATATAAACATACTTATAAAAGAATGTCAATATGTAAATCATATGTTGTTACGATAAAAGCAATCTACTGTATGATCATTTATCAAACCACAGGTTTGCATAAATGAATAACAGATAGTAGATCCGATGTACTTAAAACCCCTTTTCTTCAAAGCTTTAGCAAGAGCATGTGAGGCTTCAGTTTCAGTAGGAATATCTTTCATGTTATGCCAGTTGTTAACAATTTGTTTATGATCAACAAAACTCCAAATAAAATCTGAAAAGTTTTCCTTCTGCTTCTCCATTGCTATATAACATTTGGCATTATTCACTATAGCCTCAATTTTATTTCTATTTCTCAGTATACCGGTATCAGTTAACAATTTCTTGATATCATTACTAGTAAATTTTGCTATTTTGTATGGGTTAAAATTACAAAACGCTTTTCTGTAATTATGTCTTTTCTTTAAAATTGTAATCCATGACAGTCCAGCCTGTTGTCCTGACAAGCATAACATTTCAAATAGGTTGATGCTGTTATGTTCAGGTTTTGCCCATTCTTCATCATGATATTTTGTATAAAAAGCATTTTTGTTTGCCCATTCACATCTAGTCAATGTACTTTGTTCGGACATTTTTTTAAATGTCAGATAGGTATTAGGATTTTTCAGATCAGTTCTTAGTTTCAACAACAATTATTATTTATAACAGAGAAGATATGTTAATCAAGTGGTTAATCACTTTACCTAGTGTGTTATAACTATTAATGCAATGATATTTCCCTTTCATGTTCAGCCGCAAAGTAATAAACTATTAAATTTCTTTCATTTTTTATTACAAAGTAACAGTTTTTGACTGATAATTATCAATTTTGAAAATGATTCAATTGTATGCCAGACAATATGTTAGATACGAATTGAGAAAAACATCAATGTTAAGTTTCTACAATATTGACTACAGCAGGAAAATATACACTTGCGAGCCAAAACGACTAAATATAAGCAGCCTAAAAAAACCAATATATTCCGACATCAATATGAGTTGAACAACAATATTCATATATAAACATTGATGTTTTTCTTATATCTATTGTTATCGAAATTGACAGATAATACAAACGTTGCCATACTGTACAAGAGTAAACGATAATCTGAGTAAACAACCACCGGTTATTTGTTTCACAATTTGACAACCCCATATATTGGAAACTATACTAAATCAAAATGGAAATACTATATATAAATAACTTACATTAACACCCTACCGTTAAATATCATAGAAAATATAATAATAATAAAAAAATGTTTGTTTACTTTTTTATATATTTTAGTACTTACCGGTATTTTTAAAATTAAAACAACGACATTAACAGTAATATGTAATATTATGTTATCTGTGGTTATATTAAGATATCAATATATTTTGCCAAATAGCGAAATGCTATGTCTTTTATGATTCTATCTAAGATCTAGGAATATATATTTTTTTAAGAATTTACCAGTGTTGCCAAGTACCATATGTTACCCCTAATATCCAAATTTTTTAATTACGTAGATACTATATACTTTAACCATAATCGCATTATAAAATCATTGGTCCCTATGTATTAAAATATAAGAATACAATTTTTAAAGTAGTGTTCGTGCAAGTTAGTGTAGTTTTAAGACCCACCTCCGCAGTAGTTGTTATAACATTTAAAATCATATTATTTACAAACATATGGTATATATATTAACTTTTTTGTACGTTTACTTTCTCGTCTCATTCCTCTTCTTCTTCTTTTATTCTAAGATTTTCTATCTACATTTCAAATGTATATCAAAGGTGAGTAGAAAATCGGCTGACTTAATGTATTAGCCTAGCGAATTTGCTAGGTATAGATCACAAAAGCACTCGATTATTGCTTCTTATTTCAAATAGATTAAAATTTAATTTGCAATTTTGTACAAGTTGTTTGACAGGAAGATTTACGAACCGTAAAATTGGATATGTATCTTTCTCAATTAATACTAAAGGGGTAAAGCATGAATATCGGGCCCTGTGTTTCCAAGATGTACTTTACTGATATCTTAACTAAAATCTATACCTTGACGCCATCGAATGTGTTAACTATAAGGTCTAGAGTTAGATTAGAATTACTAACCCCTTAGAGACCACTCGTTATTACTTTCGAATCCAAATTCATAATTTTTCAAGGTAAACACTTGTGCGCAAAAATTTCATAATAATAGATATTTACAAAAGTACTATATAATAACGATATTAGTAATATCAGTTTAAATCCAGAATAATTGAAATTGTTTAATCATAAAGACTGGGTACATTAAGATTTAAATAACCAGTACAAACTAGCCACTTAGGTCCGCCGTAAATTTTTGCTAACTTCGATTGATGATTACATCGATGTGGTTTTATGTATCTTCTTGTTTCAGATCCACTTATCAAGTTTTTAGATAATTTTACATTTTTATCGCTCAGTGTCCCGTTTGATAGTAGTTGCAAAAGCGGAAGATATTCTGGTTGGGATAATTCTTTAGATATACGATTAATCTGTAATTTAAATATATTATGGTTATAGTCACATCATATTGTCGATGTATATTTCATTATTTTGGAATCTTCATATGTACGTACAGAATTCTAAACTGTTTTTAATTGAATTTGATGTATTTCAATTGATTCCAGGAAGGTGCAATGATAAATTCTTATTTATACATATCTAGTGCGAACTACATGCCGTTGCGGGGATTGCCAGAGCTACTTATTTCTTCGTTCCATTTAGGTACTACGTAAGTACTTTTAAGTAATAAGAAATCGTTCAAAATTATAAAAATGGATTGTCCTGAAAATGGGCCGGAAATGTAAAATTTTTATAATTACAAGAAATATTACAGGAGATAACCAATATACGGACGTGAATCGATAGTAATTTTGAACAGACAGTGGTCACAGAAAGCTTTATTTTTAAAATGCAAGAGTATAATACAAATAATGTGAAATCAACGCATGTGATTAATGAAATATGCAATATATTAAATAATGAACTCTGCCAAAAATACATCAAGTATTTTTGGCAGAATTCATCAACGATGGAAGAAATATATATTTTTAATAAATACATAGAAAATAATCATCACAATACAAAAATCCTACTCATGACTATTATAATCTGGATCGTACCCTCGTACGATTTGTTGCCGTAATTATCAGAAGTAAGGCAATATAACCGCTATAGGGCGAAAGCGTCAGACTGCTATATACTTTTTAGGTGTAATTAAAACAACCTTTATTTTTCCTATAATGAACTGAATTAACCACTGGTGACCACGGTGACTTGATAATTATATATATATATATATATAATATTGACATAAGGTTAATATTATTTCACCGAAAATAATATATCAAATTAATATAGATCTTTTGGTTTATAAATAAGTTTCTTACTACTGTTTTAAGTTGGCTATCTGTTAGTGGTGTTGTAATAGGCCCCAATAATAATACGCTGCTGTTTTTGTCAAGACTGTTAGGGTCCACAGACATAAGTTCGTCACTGCCATTATTTTTTATTTCGTCATTAACTATTAAAAATATGTATTCGTGAGACATTTTCTGTGTGGCTTCTGGCATATATTTGTACATAATATTACGAGCTAAAGGTTTACTTTTCTTACAGCACAATGTTTTTAACTGCGACACAAGAATGTCAAATAATAATTCCTTTTTGTCATCATCCAAACCCAAGTCTTCGGAGTTTGCATTCATTTGATAATTATTTAGGAGGTCACTTAATTTTTGAACAGCTCTGTAATTAGAATCGTCACTCTTGACATAGGGATCCACTTCCTTATTTTCTAATCTAAAAAAAGCCATGGGATCTTTGTCTGTTTTAGTTGTTGGTTTAAAGTTAAATTTATTGCTATTCTCATCAACATTTTCGTTAAAGGTATTGCGGTGACTTTGGGCCTTACTGTTTTTTAAAATGTTATCAAGTCCTGATTTGGAATCGAAAGTTATATTTACTATATCATCTAAATCATATTCAGATTTTGTAGGTTGGGTATTTAACAATTTTATAAGTTCTTCGTCCGATAATTTTGAAAGAAGATAAGTGACATCGTTGTCTGTAAAACAAAAAATATATATTTCATTCGTCTATTATTGATGCCTTGGTTCAATTCATGCATACATACAGAGAATTACATTTATGTAATTTGCTCTGGAAAATCAATATTAATTACCAACATATGTAATTGTTATCGAACAGTAATCATGTAAAATGTGATAAAAACATCCTTAAATTATAAGTATCCGAATTCCAATGAGTCCGAATCAGCCTGACTGAAACAATTGTTAAAATTGTTCTCGAGTCGAGATCAAGATGTTGCGAAGTATTTGAATGAGCCAATTGAATTTATCGGAATGTTAGGAATAGGATATACTTGGTAGTAATAGGAACTTGTAGCCCCATTTTTCCTCATTTTAAGCATTTTCTATTTGTGCTTAATCAGCGCAGGCGGGTGTAGAAATACCTACATTATATATTCATTATTAATATAAACCTGATAACTAACTGACTGTATTTTACCAATCTTAATCTTACGGCCTTGTTACATTCTATGAGCTTTTCGAGTCTTAGCATCATCATAAAAAAAGTCCGTGACTCCTAAAGTTCCCATGGATAAATAATGAAACTAAGTACATACCGACATTTTTTATTATTGAAACTTTAGGTAATTCTCTATCGTTCTGCATATAACTTCTGGAATTGATAAAGTTAGCTAAATCATTTTCCGGATCCATATTATCCATAAAATAAGAATGTTGATTTTTTAGCAAGGATATAGCTGTGACATTTTGTACCTAAAATGAAATTATTAGTAATATAAATCTTATTAAAACATTATTATGTGTTTTGTCCGCACTCCAATCTCGGAACCTCTAAAGGGATAGGTAGGACCGGCTTATTATAAATATGTCATGTAAATAAATAAATGATAAATCATTGGAAGATGTATTTTAAAAATTAATATTCATCTACACTAAATGCCCTCGTATCTACATTATAGAAAATTCGATAAGTACTTTATTCATATTTATTCATAAGTATATTTCATAATAACTTTACTACTTTGAATAGGATATTATGTGTTATAATTGTAGCTTAGGTATATACATAAAAAATAATTTGTTCAAATATAATTAAATAAACAGAAACAGATTTTGATGTCAGCAATATATTCACATTGTATACAATGAAAATTCTCCGAATTGTTAAAACTTACGTACCCAAATTAAGGGAAAACAAAGTAATAATCGAAAACGTGAGTACATGACGAATAAATTCTAGAAATGTCATGAATCTTTTATTACTTAATTTTACGCATGAACGTACTCTTTAAGAATAATTCTCATTAACTAAACCTATCAACAGTCTTGGAAAGAATTTAACAATGCACAAGAGCTCGTTAATAAAATTGTTTATGATTGGCTTTGATAAGATGAATGTGGTCGCGTGCGTTTTCGTACGTACCTACACTTATCGATTATTGAATTTTACCTGTTGATGTTATTTTTTGTATTCGTTTCAGAGTTGTCGAAGAAGGATTAGAGACCGATATGAATCTATCGTGATGTGTCCATAAATGTGTGATGTAATTAAACCGACTAATTCATAGATCTCCTTTTGACCCAGATACTGATTCTGCGTGTTGATCTTCTTATTTTACACCAATGGACATTTTAAAATAAAATATAAATTAATTATAGAGGTTAGTAAATATTGTATGTAAGCGGTGGAGGCGGAAGCAGATACGGGTATTATACACTGGAAGGGATCGGGCGAGAAACGATCACTTTAATACTATTATTTACAATTTATATAACACGTATATAACACACTTTTTAAGTTTTTTTGAGAGTGACAATAAACAAGGAGGGTAGCCCTAGTAACCACACTAGTCATAGACTTTATACTAGCGCTATTCAACCTTAACAGTTAGACGGTATTTACCTACAATTAACTAGAGTACATACGTCGTAAGCTATTAGCATAGGAGGAAGTTTATGTTCTGGTGAGGTAACGAATAGCAGTTTGTAAGCATAGAAAGAAAAAAATGCGGAAGTAAATGCAGATTCGAATATCTACCGCCAATATTGGCGACTAGTTTTAAATTTCAATTTATATTGCTAAATTAATATGAATGAGACTTATGATAGTATGTTTACTTATCGAAAGATTGTAGAGATGTTTCGATATAATTGTCAGTTTATGTTATGTTACAAGAATAAAGATTTAATAGTAAAGAATACTACTATTGATTTTGTCTACATTTTTGTTTGTTAAAAAACTAAAATGCTTTTGATTTTTTTTGCAAAATGCATAAATACTTTTGTAAAAAAAAGTAACTATTATTTTAAAATTGTCAAGTGAAACGGCGGTTTAATCAAATGCACAAAAGAAAAACTTATTTTTTTAAATAAAGGAGTATTTTAGATTAGTGTGTCATCACAAAAAAAAATTATTTGTGCTGTCAGATTGACGTGATGGCAGTGTCTGTCATCGATTCCCTTTAAAGCATAAACAGAAGAAAAAATTATCGGTCATCTTTCTGCTGATCTGTGGTATGTTTGTAAACATATCTTACCTATTTAAGAAATTAAAAATTTTGTGTTGCATTGAAGAATAAATGATATAGTAAATATAACTTATAAGGTCACAATTTTTGTACTGATTCAGTTAAAGTAATAAAAATAATTCTATTGTGTATAAATTTAAATCTTGGACAATGAACATTCCCTTTCCTGCGTTAACACCACGTTTAATAGATTCGAAGTGGTTTAATGCTGATAGCCCTTGCGATGAAGAGACTGAACTCACAGCATTAGAGCAAGCAAATCAGTTATGGGTATGTACTTTTGACTACTTCATTGTGAAATAATCAAATAGGGGGAGGGATAGTTAGTAATGGAGACTAGTGGTATCAATGGTAGCTGTGTACCATATCTGGTTGACATCCGCACGATCACCCTTGAAACCATCGTGGTTAGTTCCTGTTGAATTTGCCATGATGAGCTAGTAATCTATCAGCTAACCTATAGTAATCTATGAACTTTTGGCTCTAATCCAAAACTTTAGTATAATTTCTTAAAAAAATACCAGTATATTCCTCTGCTTTTACTTTTCTTTACTTAACACATCTTTTTTGTATTTTCAGTAGTTTCATAGTTAACCTTATTTCTAAATAGTTATAATATAAATTTATTCTTTTACATACAAAATTTCAAATACACATTACATATTTTGTTCGCAAAGGAGGATTTATCTCAAATCCTCCTTTACTATCAGAGAAATGTATTAATTGCTCAAAGAGATCTCTTCCAGTCAATTAAAACAGCGAGACACAGAAATTGGTGTATGGGTCATAGTTGTACCAATGATAAATGTGACATCTGATAATATTTAGCAATATTTTGTTGTCCCTACTCATAATCACATAATATATTTAATAACGAAATTTAAAAAAATGTTTCATTGTAGTTGAACTCTATTGAGCAGCAGTATGCGAAACGAACACCACTTGGCAAGGCAGATCCTGAGCCGATGGAGGAAGAAGCAGACACTGATGAGGAAGAAGGTTTGTAGTTGTAGAATTTGAGTACAGATTTCTTTATGTGGTTAAAAATTATAGTAAGTTATTGTTTAAAGTAACTAAACTAAACTAAACGAATAGCAAAAGAGCAGAATGCAAACCTGGTCTAAAGTAGCAACTGTCATATATATATGCAAGTGTATTGTCATGTTACTCCATAATACCTCACATATTTCAACATTAGAATTGAGGTGTCATGTATACTATGATTTAAATGCCAAATCTCACCCTTTAAACTGAAATACATCTTATGATGCTAGATGCTTAGCAACAGAATGAGGGGAAACAGAGGTTATATTTTGATTATTTAAAATAGTAAAGGGCTCTAAACCCAGAGTTAACAGAGAGTTTGTACAAAGTTTACTTATTGTTTTAAAAAAATTGGAGAATGCACATAGGCAATGGTCATCGCTTACCATCAGGTGAGTCTAGAACTTGTTTGCCATTCCAGTTATATAAAAAAAAGTACAATTATGTGTGCTATTTCTTTGTAACCATATTCATATCGAGTTTCTATTTCTTATATGATATTAAATTTGTTCAGATCCCTCAGATTTTACTGTATTTTGATCAGGTTACTATTATTTGAAATTTATTTAATGATGTTTTCTATCATCTATCTTATTATTGTTTTCTTTAGGTAATGATGAGTCAGATGAATCAGAAGAATCACATGATGAAGATGAGGAAGAAGAGTTAAGAACATCATATTCTCCTGCCAGGAACAACAATGAACTGGAGCCTGATAGCTTGGATGATCTGAATGATACTTCAGAGTTGAACACTTCCGATCAAAGTGCTATGTATTGAGGATGTCATTCATAAAATATCTGAGATTTATTGATGACTGATGAACAAATGACTAGATAGATAGTAGACCCGATCAAGTCCTATGTTCTCCTACATAGACGCATAGATACTTTATAATTCACCTATTTGGCAGTAGTAACCAGGTACCGAACCCAGACCGAGCCGTCATTCGAGATACCATATCTCACCTTCACATCCATCCTCGACCAGCCCCCGAATCTTGAACTGTCGGGAGAGCGACAAGTACTCCCGGTGCGCCCGTTACAGGTTTAACGCACCTGCCAGCACTAGGCACCGCCTCTGCCTGCATGAATAGACGGATTTTTTTTATAGACGTTAAGGGTTAGGACGGTTAAGCCTAAGCCCCCGTTATAGCTATGACTTCCACACCTAGCGTCAGGGTCACGGAATAAAGTGCTACGGGTCATACAGTAATTATAATAATCACCCAGTAGGTATTTATAATTCGTTCGTATTTATTTTGTATAAATGACAATACATTTTTTTATAAAACAACAATAATAAATAGAAAATACAAATACAAAACAATTTTTACTTTGATGCCATCATGATTCTAATACAGTTTTTTATAATAGTATATTCTACAATTATTTTATATGTTACAATTGCATTGAGGAAATAACGTACAAATTTTTATAAATACAATATGTTGTAAGCTGTTTCGTTACCAGTATTACATAATAGACTCCAGGGAATACGTGTGGAGGGGTTGAGTGACACATGTAATGCAAAGATAATAAATATTTCAATTTGGACCGAGTCCCAACTATTAATTTTTTCAAGCTACCATAAAATATTATATTATACTACTTTTTATTTACAGTTTCAGTACAGTCTTATTTATTAAAAATCAATATGACATAATGTAATGTATTCAATAGTATGGAGGATAATGCTGCACAATGCTGGACGACTTATTATTATTTAATGTGTAATAAAGTCTTTTTAAATCCGAATTTCCACATATGATTTTTCAAAATTGGTGGAGTAATTCTTTAAAGGTTGTGCTAGACTACCTCACTTAAATCATGGAAAGAAAACAGACACATTCTGTTGGTAATATTACTATTGCTTTGAAATTTAAAAATTATGATGTTACATTCATTATTCATTACTATAAAAAACTATAAAAATATTCATTGTCAGAATATTAAGATATTATTTATCACATACGCAATGCATAATTAATAATAATTCCTTAACTTTACGTTATATATTTCACACTTCAACCTAAATATAGCTTACTAAGTTGGTTGGCTGCTGTAATTTGAACCGAATCAATCATATCAGGGCTAATGTAAGCCTCAGCCTAGTTTTTTCTAGTATAAAAAATATAGGGGTCTATTTGTAATTTCAAATTGGATGGAATGGAAATATGAAAGTTGATAAAAAAATCTGCCTCTTCTTGGTTATATCTAACACGGCTGGACCGATATTGACGGGACTTCCATTCGCAGATAGTTCATATTATAAGTAACTTATTTTATTTATTTATTTTATAGATTTTTAGTTATATACGCGGAAGAAGTTGTGGATAACAGCTAGTTTCTAATAAAATAATAAGGTATGCTGATTATTTTAGTTCTTAAACAGAAATAGTTATTTCTACAAAATATTATATATTTCAACAATGATTTATTCCGTCAGTAAAACTTACGTAAATACAGGGTTAAATGCTGAGCAGTAGCTTGCAATTCCAATTACAATTGGAATAGCAAACAATTTGATGACCTACTGGATAAACAGGACTATGCACATCACGTTATCATAATATGACCCATGACTCATGCAGTTCCATTCCAGAGGATTATGATATCATGCCTTTATATGTATACCTCGCAGCCCCATACAGCAAAGTTCTAAATTCAATATATTAATTTTTTAGTTACTTTATGAGTGTACCCTTTGAAAATTATTGATTTTAAGGTTTTTCTTAAATTAGAATTAAATTCGTCATTTCAAGAATTTAGTATTCTGCACATTTCTGCCAATGATATCATTTATACTTGTAGCATTAATAAATAATTATTCTTATCTATCACATTAAAGTTCGTTATTGGATCCAATACTTGTGACATCCACTACAATATTTACGACTCTAGTAAGTAACGGGGCCATATTCACCATCGAGACCCCGCCGTACCATTTATCTTCGAGGCACTTTTCTATTATAGCATGTTTAGACACTTGATCTGAAAAAGAAATTTAGATTGCTATTACTAAGTTAACGCTCTAAGCGTGGGTATTACCAGGAGGGATAAACTCCAGTACTCCCTGTACTGGAGTTTTCACTGCCCCCAAAAGAGGAGAATGTAAACGAGGACTAGAGAATAAATAATTTGGAGGCCATACAAGAGACATGTTTACTTCCAATGGTTTAACCACAATGTTATGGCAATGGGTTGGAATTGTCCTATTTATTTAAACCCATGTCTATACTATTTTGTTGATGCCCTCCTATGCATCCAAAGCTTTTGTATTCCTTTTCGTGTGTACGGTAACTACGATAATTGTAAATATATTTCAAACACAACGCCATAAAGCTTTCAATTTTAAATGTCAATATTCAATAACATGTCAATCAATCATACATACCTGATGAAACATTGGAGCATTGTGCTAAATTCAGTGTAAAAAATATTGCACTTTTCTTCACTAATGGATTATATTCATCACAGTAATAATGAAAAGCCATAGCGAGACTAGATGGGACTTTATCGATCTCCGTGATGAGCAGTAGTCCGGATTTGTCTACATCATCTTTATACTTCTTTATCAGTTCATTGTGAGTGTGCATATCAAGACTTGTGCTCTGCACTACAACATGCTGAACTAATTTTGTGTTATTTCCTAGAAAATATAATATAGTATCAGAGAAGAAAAAGTATTAGGACGCGTCTGACGTTCGTCACTAAGGTTGCATTATCATGTTTTAAAGCTTCAAGTCAGCGCAAACCCAATACTCCATTTTATGAGACAAGAAGTAACTTAAAATGATTGTTTCCTTTTTTAATGAACTAATGCGGAATAAAATTGTTTTATATGAGTTCGTAACAAAATACTGCAATATAATTACTGATCAAATTTAATATCTGTTATATAAATAGTATAATATTATTTATTATTACGATTTTATGTTGTAATAAAACGAGATATAAGCAAATATCTTACTTAAATATTGAGCTGAAGTTGATGAAACATCATTCATAAACCTATTGAATACAACTGAATTAAAGTTGTTTGAATTACTGTTATATATAAATATGAAGGATCCTGTATCTTGCCTTCTGTATATTGTTGAAATACCTGGAAATATAACAATACATGTGACCATCAATACATGTAGTCATGTCTTAGTAAGCTGTTATATTACATCAAAAATATTTCAAATCAACTCTGAACAAGCAATGAAAGTAAGAAAGCGACAATTCATATTAATATTATAAATGTGAAAGTATATCTGTATGTCTGTTAGACATAAGGTAACTACCTGGTAAAGGTAACCTTTTCAGACTAAACAGCTAAATAGATCTTAATGAAATTTGATAATAACACTAATGGTATTTTAGGGATAGACATGGGTTACATTTTGTCACAGGAAACAGTCTAGAACAAGTGAAATACGGGTCACAGCAGCGGGTAACAGATATTCATATATATTAAATGAAGCTACAATATAATTAGTAATATAAACAATAGACAATATGCTCAGAGTTTAGAATACTAACAATAATGTTTTAGTTACCTGTTTGTAATTGTAAAACAGTATCATCTGTTATTTTGTATCTTCTTCTTAAATTATTTATATCAGTGTGGAAATTTAATTCATCATAAATAATACTACTTGTTCCTTGTACACTTTGCAGCAAATTTGAGATACCATTCCAATATACCACTATATATATCATAAATGCTACTAATGGCATTAAGAAAATGTATATTTTTCTAGTTTCATAGTTTCTAGAATTTTCTTGAGAACTAGCTGATCTGTGAATACTTTGAGAGCCAAAAGATTGGTACTCATTGCAGATTGAACTTTCTCTTACTGGACTGTAAGATTCATTAACATTTCCATTCGAAGGTTCATGTGAAGACAGGCCAATGTAATCATTGTTCTCTGGATAATAAAACTCACTGCTGCAATTTGATGCAAGAATTGCAGGTAAAGACTTTGAAAGTGAAACACTGTAATGAAACAGACATTACCAGCCCATATATAAAAACAATATTAAAAAATAATTAATGGTATTTTATAATAGACAAGTAGCCATGTGTGATGATGACTTTGGATGGTAATGTACTGTTAATATATGTTAAATAAAAATGAGAAGCAAAATTATTTATAATGGAGTAGTGCACCCGCCTGTGGTAACAATGTATGCTAGCGGACCAGTAGAAGATGATAGGATGAGCATGAATTCAGTCAGAACAGTTAGCAGATTCTGGTGAAATCACTAAGATGTTTTCCAGGTCAACTATGTGGAGATCTACTTGACAGGGTACATTAATAGCAATGTGGTCGCTAGTCAACATTGCTAACAATCTCTTCCCACTATAAGAAGCCAGGTTAGGGTATGCATAAATATATTCAACATAAGTACATCAAGTTGGACTGGTGCTTGTGGTTCATTCCATGGTAATATTATTGTAATTGTATACAAAGAATAGAATAGAATAATAGCATAATAGCAAAATATTATATTATATTTGTGAAATTAATTGGAAGATTCATGTACAATTTATTTCATTATTAACTTTTAGTTTTTGCACAGGCTCTTTAATGAAATCTTTGACAATTGTCAACTTATTTATTTATTTATTCTTTTGCACACAAAAATGTATACAAGGCGGACTTAATGCCTGATGGCATTCTCTACCAGTCAACCGTCGCGTTGATCAGAGATAATAATAAGGCGGTGCAATTTAACAATTAATATATAAAGAAAAACAAATATGGATAAATACGAAAAATAATATTATATATATTGTTATATGCAAATATATTAATAATTAATTAATAAATATGTTAATCTACCTAAATAAAAAAAAATATATATATAACATACTAATATACCCCTATAAAATACATATACAATTACATAAATAAACAAAAATTAAGGCCTATTGATTACATACAAAATAATACATATATATGTATATATATATACACTTACATATAATAAAATTATATTAAAATTGCATATATAGTCTCATGGGATATTCTGCAGTTAAAAGTTTGGCTGAATACTCTTACAGAAATTTTGAATAATGTTCACGCAATGATCTCTTCAAGGAGAATTTGGATTGACTTTGTCTGAGGCCAACAGGAAGTGCATTCTAAAGATTGATAGCAGTAATAGTGAAAGACTGAGAAGAGAAATTAGAGCGCTGAGAAGGAGTATAAAGCAGGAGATTAGAAGAAGAGCGAAGATCACGAGAATGTGATGAACTAAGAAATTGAAATCTTTCTTTGAGGTCCTGAGGAGATAGTGGATCGTATAGAACAGAAAAAAGTTGACAGAGACTTCTGACACTCCTGCGCTGGCGAATAGGAAGCCATTTCAGCTCAGAGCGGAAGTTGAGTTGAGTTATTAAGTTTTCATAGTGAAGTCAGGACTTCACTATGAAAACTTAATAACTCAAACAAATGTTTATTTGTATTTTATGTGCTACCTTTGATTTGTATTTAAAACTTTGCCAGTGTTTTAACTTGTTAAAGCAGTTATTCATCACCAATCATCTTTACTGATAATGACAGGAGCTACCAGCTATGTGTAAGCACATTAGATGAGTCTACAAAATGGGGATTCATATATTTGAAAATCATATTCAAAGTTACAATGGTTTAAAAATTAATTAATCAAAAAAGATACTCACTCACTATCACTTCTCTTATCTTCTGCTGCTTCATAGCTAGAAATGTTTAGAGACTGTCTTCTGTTTGCATTTCTATAATTTGCAGGAATTTGTAATGGACTTGATGACCCCACTGGTTTGCTGAAATATATGCAATAACAATTTAAATTTGATATTTTCTAGAGATTATATTCCAGTCTTTTGGTGGTGTCTGGTCCAGCGGTTTAGCACTCTGCTTTACTTATGGTTAGGTGTTTGATTCCTCACATGGTGCAAACATTTGTATTCCTGAGTATTATTGTTTGCATTGGTCTGGGTGTTTTATATGTATATTATCTATGTATTAACAAAAAAATAAATTATGACATTGGTTTTTTATGTGGCCTTTCTGTGCAAAAGTCAAATATACATTAACTAAAAAATATATTAGTGTTTTTTTGTCTTCTTAAAAAATACAGTTATTACCTCATAACATTGTCAACCTCATCAAATTCTTGATCATTGTGTAAAGAAATACATGTTGCTCCTGCACTGGTTTTATTCAATCCATATCTACCCATTGTGTCATTAAATAAGAATGGGCAGTTTAAGTGATTGTGAATACTTCTCCTTGCAGATGGTGTTATGGAAGCCCCCCTAGTCTAAAATAAGACAAAAATTGTGAAATGCTTATAAATATTGCAAATATGTCTTTCTGTTGCCTGTTTCTATGCAAGTACATTGTTTTATTATATGAAATAAGAAGAATTATATATATACCCAGTGTAAACAGTGAAAAAAAATTGTCTGAATATTATTCAGAGTATTTTTTTTATTATAATAAGAATAATGCCATTATATTCGATTCTGGATGAAAAAACAGAAGTCTCTAATTACTTTGTTCAGAAGAAAGTAGGAAATATTGAATTTTGATAATTTCACATCACTCAACTTTCTATTTATGACAAGATGAAGAGAGGATTGCTATCTATGTGGACTATTCGCTCATTTATAGTAATGTGCTCAGTTAAATCGAGACAGTTGCTAAAAATCATTACGGTTTATTGCTGTACTTGTTAATATTGAACACATATACAGTTTTTGATCACAAATACAGTAATGTTTATTACGAATACTACATTTTATTTTCTACATGACATAGTTTATTTTGTTGCTACATAAGAAACAGGGAGTTGATTTGAGCCGGTCGATAGAATATAATATAGATAATCTTTATTCAAATAAAATTAATTTGAAATATATATATTTTATGATTCGGAAATCAAAGTTCAGACAGAGATAAAATATTTGCATGAATGTACTATTAATTAACATTAAATTTCTATTGGAACAAATTACAATCGTAGAAGACAACCTGTTTAAATTAATACTTAATAATATGTTATAGAGAAAAGAAAATTTGACTAAAAATGTGAATTTGTAACACTCACTTTTTCATATTTATCAACCATTTGATGATTGAATTGCGTTTCAGTATAATTGGAATTGTGTGATATAATTGACAATAGAGTTGTAAAGATTAGGTAAAGTTTGATTTCAATTTTTTTCTCTTTTGGAATGCACTACAACAATAAATAATTCATATATGATATAATAATTATGATTTTTTGTTCAGAACACAGATTAGATAGAAACAGATATTTTATCCACAAGTGGACTCAAGTGGTTAAGCAAAAGTACAAGACCATAGATAAAAATATAATAATATAATAGTATCATTAATTATATTTCTATTAATTCCTAAATATATTAGATTTATATTTAGGAAGCGACAGTAGGCATACAAATTGCGTACACGCAAGAATACCAGGAAGAAAAGAAAGCGAAAATAATCTCTATTCCATATTAGTTCAAATTCTAATGTCAAACGCATGACAGACAACTGTCACAAACATTACTTTTATGGCACAACGGTCGCTATGTTATGGTTAATGGCAACACAGAGAAAACCCCGGAGCCAGAATAAAAAAAAACGGTCGCTATGTTATTCTTTATTTTTTTATTGCTAATAATGAAATTACTAATTATTTAAAAATCATTTTTGAAAAGTATATCAGCGCGGCTCATTAAGGTTACTTGTAACCCGAGAGCTGGTAGCTACTTTGCCCAGAGGCTAAGTATCATATGTATTTTGGGTACGTTGCCTCGATGTCCCGCGTTGGATACGCAGTAACGGTTTTTTTCTGATTGTTAAAAAAATAACACTAAATTATTACTATTGTCCTACATGGTGAACAGAGAGGAGGGAACTAAAAAGAGGTCTCCTCAAGCATGGTATAGAGAAAAGCCGCATTTGACGCGGTTTAAAGCGGACGCTACCTTGGCATTGCGGTGGAAAATAGGGATACCGTGCCTGTGTAGTCTGTTGGATGACAATAGTAGCTTCTTTAGGATAGCGGATAGATATCCATGATGCATTTCAATCCCCAAGTTAAGACAATGTAGATAAGTGGAATACAGAATTAACAGATTATTAACAAATAATATGCCTGCTACGCCGTAAAAATAAAGTTGTAGTTGCATTCGTTGTTTAATAATACAACCTTACCAACGGTCTTATTACTGGCAGCTAGAAGGTAAAGTCTTAAATACGAAGAAAAATAAGAGAAGCGAAAAAAGAACTTGGTTTTATTTTTTACTGAAATACTAATTTAACGAATATGAAGTACGAAATTATAATTTTAACTTTTATTACTTTTGGGTTTGGGTTTGTTAATATATGCAATGCAGAAAATGTTAAAAAAAGTGTTGATGATAACCGAGAGGATAATGGTGATACAGAAGAACCTGAGACTTTGTACATTCCTTCAGAATTTGAATCTAATAACATTACATGTACGAGAAGACAAAATAGTTTGATGCATGAAATACAGACAGCGGGTTACAAGCAGTTTCCTTTTATGGTTGCTATTATGTCTCATCAGAACGAATACATTTGCTCGGGTTCTGTAATATCTAACGGGATGATTCTTACAACAGCGGAATGTACACAACGACCTAATAGTTACGTGTTATTAAATACAACTAAGGCTAAAAAAGATGGTAATTCTATCATGGTTCGTGTGATTAAATCCGACAAATTTCCTACATTTACTGGTTCAGAATCGTTAAAAAATATTGGACTGATATATACAGAAAAATATAATAATACAGTTGCTTCCAAAATTATACTGAGCAACTATACAAGTACTCTCAACATTATTGATATTGATGCTTTGGGATTTGGTTTGAATTCTGATGTTGGACAAATAAAAGAATTGCAATACGTTGGTTTAGAGCATCGTTCTATGGCTGAGGGTGTAGATGTATTGAAAGGTTATTTCGATTGTGTGGAAACAAAGATACTGACTTGTTTCAAAGACATTGGCGGACCCGTAATATATGACAATGAACTAGTGGGTGTTATTACTAAAGGTCAAGATACATGTACCAAAGAGATGTCTTCTGTTTATGCAGTTAACAAGTTTATGGTAGAGGCCTTACCGACTTATACTTTTAAGGCCTGGCTAGATGAAAAAATTAAGAAAAACGAAGAGCAAGATGAAACATCTTTGTTTGCTTATCCCTTGAAGCCAGTTCTACGCAAACAAATACATAAAATGACAAGCGCTGGCAATTATTTCACTATAACACCCTTGCTTATTTTTATTATGCCTTTAGCGTCTACGAAATTTTGAGTTTGTGTTTAAATTTTTGTTATTTAATAAACTTTTTCTAATTGATGATTTAAAATTTGATTGATATGCAATAAATAAGTTGAATTTGTAAAATATTTCTGTTCTAAATTTTATAATAGGTACTATGTAGAGTATTTTGAGACATAAATTATATTTTATGTAATTTATATATTTTTTTTTTATAACAAACAAGCATGCGGATCATCTGATGGTAAGTGATTACCGCCGCCCATGAGCACCCGCAACACCAGGGGAATTGCAAGTACGTTGTCGGCCTTTTAAAAAGGAATAAGCTCTTTTCTTGAAGGTTTCAATATCGTATCGGTTCGGAAATACCATTGCTGGAAGGTGATTCCAAGGTGTTGTGCGAGGCAAAAAGTTTCTAGAAAACCGTACTGTGGAAGACCGCCATTCATCCAGATGATCAGGATGGTATTTCAGTTTCTGGCGGGTGGTACGGAGGTGAAACTCAGCAGCTGGTATTAATCCGAACAATTCCTCAGAACACTCCCCGTGATATATGCGGTAGAAAATGCACAGAGATGCAATATCTCGCCGCAAAGCCAATGGGTCGAGTCTGTCACATAGACGTTGATTACCAATGATTCTGGCTGCTCGGTTCTGAATGCGGTCAAATGGAAGTAGCTGGTATTGTGGTGCTCCGGCCCAGAGATGTGAACAGTTTTCCATATGCGGCCGGATCTGCGCCTTGTATAATTGGAAGCGATGGGCCGCCGTGAAATACCGTCTCACTCTACTGAGCACACCAAGCTTCTTTGAGGCTATTTTAGCCTTGTCCTCCAAATGACCGCAAAACTGAACGTCACTGGATATATCAACGCCAAGGACCTCGAGATTTGGCTTCACATCAAGGAGAGTGTCTTGAAACTGAGGAGATACGATAAATGGATTCTTTTTAGCGGTAAACGCGCAAACTTGTGTCTTCTTGGGGTTGAATTGAACACAATTTTCCTGACCCCAAACCGAAACTTGGTGGAGTGAAGTTTCGATTTCGGACACAAGTTTGTTCCGGTACTCTATAACTTTTGCCTGCGACATATTAGCATGGCCGCTGTACAAGGCATCTCCGGTACTGTCATCCGCATAGCAATGAATGTTGTTGATTTGTAACATGTCATTGATATGCAGAAGGAACAGAGTCGGATATAGCACACAATCTTGTGGAACACCAGCATTCACAGAGTGTGGGTCGGAGCAAGCACCATCGACAACGATCTTGATGCTCCGATCAGCGAGAAAGCTGGCGACCCATTTGCATAACTTCGCAGGCAACCCAAAGGATGGTAGCTTTGAAAGAAGAGCCTTGTGCCAAATCCGATCAAAGGCCTTCGCAATATCCAGACTAACAGATAGGGCCTCCCCCTTACTCTCAATAGCCTCTGCCCATCGATGTGTCAAATACGCTAGAAGATCACCAGCCGACCGACACTGGCGAAAGCCATACTGACGATCAGAAATCAACTGGTTCACTTCTAGGTATCGTAGGAGTTGACGGTTGCACACGTCAGGTGCACACGTCCTGAGCACAATAGCAGGAATACCGTCAGGCCCACTCGACTTGTGGATATCTAGGGAGAAAAGAGACTTACGTACCAGCTTTTGGGTAAATTTTACCTCTGGCATAGAAGTCTCACACCGCGAGATGACCGGCGGTGATTGTTCCCTATCGTCCAGTGTCGAGTTGGATGCAAAAAGAGACCCAAAGAGATCGGCCTTCTCTTTAGCATGTTGGGCCAACGAATTATCCTCTCTGCGCAGTGGTGGAAAAGATGGCTGGCAGAAATTTCCCTGTGCAGCCTTGGCAAGAGACCAAAAAGCCCAGGATCCAGATGGAAGACTTTTCAGTCTCCTACCAATTCTGCTGATGTGCTCCGACTTTGCTGTGGCTATAACTCTTTTGAAGGACCTGGAAGCGGAGTTATACTTCCTTTTATGGGCACTGGTATCTGGATCACTCGACTTCACAGCTGCAATCCAGGCACGGAAGCATTCCTACTTATGGCGAGACGCCGATCTACAGGATCCGCCATTCTAGGTGACTTCAGCGTGATGGGCGTTGAAGTCACCTAGAATCACGACCTCAGCGGAGGGAATCTGTTGGAGCAAAAAATCTGTAGCCATTTGGACGTGTTCAATGAGTCGGTCAGTTTCGGTGTTACCGCTATGGGACCTGTATAAGCATGCATAGATGCGGCACCCCCGCATTGCAATCTACACGCAACCATAAAATGGACAGGTCAGTACCTTCAAGTGTACCAAGACGGCGACAACTAATATCCTCTCTGACATAAGCGCACACACCGGCCCGTGGAATAAAATGGTGTTCCAATTTAAATCCAGGGTAGGTCAGGTACGAAATTTCGTCGGGACAGGATATTTGCGTCTCCGTAAGGAAGAGCAAAGCCGGTCTCACCGTCTCTAGATGGTGGTGAACGGCGTTGAGATTGGAATGAATTCCCCTGATGTTGCAAAAACTGACTATGAGCAAGGGAAACGCCGACGGAGATTTGCTCGGTTTCCTTCTGGCCAAATTGAGCAGAGAATTGCCCACCCCAGAATACGCAGGGCAGCCTGAGTGTGATATCTCAGAGGTGGATTCTCCAGTAACATGGTTACTGGTACCACCCTGGGGTAAAAATCTCTTATAATCCGCTACCATGGTATGTAAGAAAGGGGTGGGTAGGGGAAGGAAGTAGGAAAGGGATAGGGGGAGGGGGAGGGGCGTCCGGAACCTACAGCTCACCATGCGAAACGCGATATCGCTTAACGCCGGTTTTCTGCCGAGGTGTGGTATTTCCCGGTTCGAGCGGCCCAATCGAGCTGAACAACCATGTGTGGTCGTACAGCTTGCTCTACCACTTGCAATATAACGTAACTTATATTTTATATAAATTATGTCTCTTAAATTCGGAATAGAAAACATATGTTTCTACGCATTATTTATTAATAATGCCTAACATTTATTAAAATTTAAAAATATTGCTGTGATATAATGATCTACAGTAAAGGTATACAGCTGGCAAAACATCCTTTAGATGAAGGCAAGAAAGTTACGTCATCGTACCGTATTGTACAGGAATTAACCACGATTTGTTTCTAGGAGGTACCGTATGGAGATTGAACTGTTAGGATACTTACATTACAAGCAATGAACTTATCAACCCTACTCTTAGAGAGACATACGATTTATAGTCCGTGATGCTCTGCATGTATAACGGTTGTTACTTGTCTTCATTCCAGTTACATAAAAAATGGCAATATCTTAAAAATCTTGTAACCAAGTCACAAAATTTCTAAAAAAACTAAGTGTCTCCCTTTCATTGTATCGATACTAGTAGATAACTATGACTGTATGGGCGCAGTTCCCTTTGGCTTTGCGTTAAAGGATAAACAGAACAAAAAAAAACGTCTATAACTGTTCATTTGATTATTTTTGGTGTTATTTATCGTTAATTTGAGTCTAATCAATTTTCTTCGTTAAGTTCATTCTAGTTTTTATTGGTCGATGCTGTCGGTTACTTAACTTCGATGAGGATATTAGCGAAAGGTTGTTATCGATATTTTTGGAGTAAAAATCGATATGTCTCAAACATCGATGTTTATCGATCATCCTTACCAATCCAGTTCAACGAGCATATTGGTGTTCTGTGGTTCGACGAGACCAATATTCATTCATTATTCACGTATTCGATTTTTTTTAACCATTGTTACTTCTACTTTCCATTAAATACATTGGTATTTATTGAATTTCAGCATTATATTTATTCTTCTACTATTCAATAAGTATGTCTAAGAAAAAGGGAAATAGAAAAAATAATGATTTTGATGATGACTTAGACGAAAAGTCAGCAACAGCTGCTAGTCATGATATAACCTCCAAGAGTAAAGGAAAGAATAAAAAGAAAAGCAAAGGAGACTGGAGTGACAATGATGAAGATGTCCCCATGAAACATCATTCAGAGGATGAAGAAGATATCAAACCAGCTGCGAAAAAATCACAGAAAAAAGGTAAACTTAATGACATTTAATTATTAATTTACAATTTATTATGTTTTAGAATCATGGTTTCGAGTTATATATATGTATTTTTACCCGTTGTGACTAACTCTGCTAATAAATTAGAAGACACAAAAAAATAGTCAGAAAGTTTACAGGCCAAAAATTATTACATATACATATTAAATTTGAAGACAGTTAAAAAAAATATTAAGTAGGTAGATTTTTGGCTAGTATAAAATAATAAGTAATAGTATATAATCATAATAGGTTATAAATTCTGTTTGTTATAATTTTTTGTAATTCACTAAGTTGCCAAACATCTAAAATTACTATAATATTTAATACTAATAATTAATAGTAATAATCTTTACAGCTAAAAACAAGAAAAAGACTGGAGAAATTTCGGATGAGGAAGATGATAATAAGTCTGTAATCAGTAATAGCACAAATACATCAAAATCTGCAAGTACTGGAACTAAAGCTAGTAAAAAAAAGAAAGGTATGTTTGTTAATCCAAAATTCCACACAACAACTTTCTTCATATTGGCAGCATTACTTAAAATTTATAATATTATTGATAATATTCTAATAAAGTATTTTTCATTGCTACTATTGAAATTGTGTTAAAACTTATATACATTTATTAAGTATAAACACCATTCATATATGAAATATAGCATGTGAATAGATTTCTGGTATTTTAAATAGTAGCTCCAGATTCTGAAATCAGAATTCAGTGTCCTAGAGTATATTTTTATTTATATTAACTGCACCATACATAGAAAATAATTACAATAATGAATTTTCCTGAACACATTGTTCCATTAATATTTTTAAAGGTAAAGGTAAGAAGGATGATGACTGGTCAGGTGGAGGGAGTGACATAGAGTTAAAAGAAGTATCGGAAGATGAAGTTGCAAAACCTGTATCTAAAAAGAAAAGTAAGTACCTCTCATGTTATAAATAGAAATTGTTATTTATGTATATTTCTCAATTTTCTCTAAACCATGATATAGTTTTACTATAGTTGTACTATATGTGAAGAATTCCTTTTAGAAATGTTGTATAATGCAGGTTTTAGTTAATATAATATCCATGAGATATGACAGGCATGCATGCAAGGCAAGCCAATGTTTACTATATAACTATTTAATGTATGTGCACAACTACATAAAACAACAATTTATTTATTAATTAATTGAATGTTTTTCTTATGAAATAAAATAATGTAAACACTTTGACATAATTGATTATTTTTCATATATCTAATCAAAGCCTTACTAATTTCAAATTTAATTAACATATGTGTTTATCTGTTGGTTCTAGATAAAAATAAAAAGAAAAATACAACAGTTGAATCTGAGGAAGAAGATTATGATGATTCCAAATCAGTGGTCAGTAATGTCTCAAGTAATACTGCTAAACCTGCCACTAAGTCAAAGATTAAGAAAGGTTAGTACACTAGTTAATTTACTATTTAGTATATATTTTGTTTGTTGTTGTTGTGCATATTGGGATACTTATAAGTGATTAAAGGTAAATTTACATATTTTAATTATTATATTTTTACATGTACATATTATAAATGTGAAATATTTGGGTGTCTGTTACTTAATCTTATACAGCTTGAAAGATGGATTGAATTATTTAAGAATATAATTTAATATATACAATTTCTCCAGATTAAGTAATAGAATACTTCTAAAAATAATTTACCCAGACCCAGACACCACCGCAGCTAGTAGTGTTAGTAATGTACTACAATAAAAAATATTATGCCAAAATTTATATAAAATATATATATGTTTTATATATATTTTTAAGTATAAACATATATTGTTTAAAATTAATAATAAATATATATTTTGTGTATAATAAATATATAACTGTCTTAAAAATTATGAAATTAATTATTTTAGGATTAATTAGCTTGAACATTAAAATAAAGATTTTATAATTTTATATTAAGTACTTATTTTAAAATTCTATTGCAGAGAACTGAATAGGTATGGATGATTTTTTAAAAATTGTAATTATGTTTCAGGTAAAGGGAAACAAGATGATTGGCCTGATGAAGATAGTGATAAGGAACTAAAAATACCACCAGAAGATGATGATGATGATGAACTCCCTCAGCTTCCTGTTAAGAGTAAAGGTCTGTACTTTGTAGTAGCATTGTTTAATAAAAATCACAATTGTTAGGGATTTGCATACATTTTCAACATACTGCAAAGCAAGTGCAAGCATGTTTATTACTAAATAGATATTCCTTATATTTGCTAATAATTTGCAGAGGTGAGGGATATTAAATTGTCATAGCTTATTTTCCACTATATAAATATAAAAAAAATATGTAACACTAAAACTTGCGTCTAATAATGAAGGTGTTAAATTGTAGGTAAAAATAAAAAAAAGAACAACATAGATGACATTGAAGCAGAACTCAAGAAATTTGAGATTAAGGAAACTTCAGAAATAGAAGAACAACCCAAAAAGGTCAAGGTAAGCTAATTTTAAAAATATATTTATAGAACCTTTAGAATGTGTGTGTATTTGATACACCACTGTACCATTTTTGTTGCCGTAAATAGTATGCATACCCTGTATACCATCAATGATAATGTATATGTAAAGTGTTCTGCTATATATTTCATTGACAAATTGCATCATTGTATTAGGGAATTTATTCTGCACCTTGAAAGTGAATTTCCAATTATTTATAAAATTATACAATTTTCTAATGTTAATTTTTATGTAAAACAGGATAAGAAAAAGAAAAGCAAAGTGGAGGAAGTAGTCGCGGCAGATGTGCTTTCTGATGATGAGGCTTCAAAGGAAGTGGATGATAAGGTAATCCTTGATAGTAACATATTTAATTTTTGTGGCAGAGAATTAAATCTTAGGTTAAGAATCCCATTTTTCTTTCTATGATTTCAAAGTAAGTAATATAAAAAAAAAAGAATTAAATCAACTATTGATTCAGGCTGTCAGTTGAACTAAATTCAATATTATGATAATAATTTACTACAAAGTACAAAGAATAATATTACTACTATTAATACCAATAAAATATTTTTTAGGTTACGGAATTACCAGATAAAGAATTGATTGAACCTGCAGAGAAGAAATTGAGTCACAAAGAGAAGAAGAAGTTAAAAAAGCAGCAAGAGTATGAAAAGCAAGTGGAATTGTTGACTAAGAAGGGTGGTCAAGGACACAGTGATCTGGATGCTAACTTCACAGTCAGTCAGGCGCAGAAGACTGCAGGTAAGGAGTGTAATATGTGGTTTTATTATTGTATATTATACTTTGTTATATAACTTGAATGTAAAGAAGGTGACTGTCCAATTTATGGGAAATGGCAACTGTTGTAGTCGACATTGTCACATATAACCCTTTTTGTGTTGTCATCACTGAGTATTAAGTTGTCATCTGTAATTTCACTGCCATATCCCACACTTTAACGATCATACTCAGCTTACTAAACAAAGTGCTTCGCGGCAGAAATAGGCGAGACAGAAGTACCCATGCAAACAACTGTGTACAGTGTATTTTGCTAAAATATACCTCATCCTTCTCAGTCTTTCTCACTATATAATTAAAGGTTGATGTGTGCTGATGTCTTCAACAGATTGTAGGGTGTACAATTTAGATATTTCGCTTGAATTTCGTGGAAATAATAAATATATAATAACTTATAAATTTTTATGAGTGAATAAAAAGTATTTTGCCTTGGTCGATTTCAGTATTGAATTTTTTTTTGTGGTGTTTTGTTGCTGCTTTACGCGATAAAGATAATTCTACACTTTTGCACTAATTACGTTATGTCTCTATACCCAGATAGAGAAATAAGGCGCGAAGCTAAATAGATATCTTCTTATAACATAAGCAATAAATGACAATGTATTATTATTCGTATGACCAGGTCAGATGGCAGCGCTAGAGAATGCGGTGGATATTAAAGTGGAAAATTTCTCCATAAGTGCCAAAGGCAAAGATTTGTTCGTGAACGCTAATTTGTTGATCGCTAACGGACGGCGGTACGGTCTAGTCGGACCTAACGGACACGGCAAGACGACGTTATTACGACATCTCGCTCAGCGCGCCTTCCCTCTCCCACCACATATAGATATACTAGTGTGCGAGCAGGAGGTAACGGCGAGTGATATAAGTGCTGTCGAGACGCTACTAGAGTCCGATGTCAAGCGAACGGGTGAGTTTAAAAAATATAATAAAATGAAAATTAACACAAAATGCAATAAAGAATGTGTTTCGTCGCGAACTTTCTAGATTAATTTTATCGTTAGTTTTTTTTTTTATATATACCCTCAATATCGATGTTTATTACTCGCAACGCATAGCAATAGCAGTCGTACAAGCTGCCATGCACCACGCCCAGTTGTATCTGTGACTACGGCGCGAGTGTATGTCTATCGTTTCGAAAATTATCTCTGCATTCAACCTCACCTCACGTCTTCAAAGACCGGATCTACCGAAGGTGGATGTTCATCGAAGGCATTAGCAGAACAAGGTACGTGTGTGCATTATATTTGCTATTGTCAACGAGTTTTTAGAACATCGATTTATTCGTATACGTAATAGTCCCTATGTAGCATAAAGCCACCGCTATTTCGGATTGGTGCGAATGCTACATCTTTCTGGTGCCGAAACCCGGGACATTCCGCCTATTCGGGTTGTTGTGGTATTTTCTGGTTAAAGTGTAGGTTTTAATCTTACAGGCATATAATCGCTATAAAAGTAAATATATATATCGATATAAATATCCTGTGATCAATTTATACGCTCGTTTATACTACCGCACAGGTTAGGTATAAACCGTGTTCTTTGTGTTTACACAAATAGATAATTAATTTGTGTTTATTTTCTAATCGATACCTATCCTATCTTCACCCTACCTTCAAAGCTGTGTGAGCTCGAAAACCGGTATTTGTTCTATTATTCATCTAACAATTTATCGTATTTAATTTCTTTTTTTTTACTTATCATTTCCTATGAGTATATCTTACAATTATTATTTATCGTTTTATATTCACGCTCATACTCTAGAGATAGACCGAGGCGCTAACTAATTATAATTAATATTATAATATCACGCTTATTTTATTTCGGAGCGGACAAATTAATTAACTGTTTTATTTGGGATATTATAACAATTTTAAATTCACGCCTAATAGATTTTTAGGGTTGACAGAGACTTCAAAAATCTTTTTTTTTTAATTTTATATCGTGTTTAATTAAATCGTGTTTTTTTTTTTTTTTTTATTAATTAACTCTTTTATATAATACAAATAATCATGTCACTTTTAACGAAGCACACTTCTCGTAAAGTAGGTACTTTGAAAAAATCGAAATCGAAATCTATCGATAATGATTATACTGTACAGGACTTAGCGTCATTGCGCAGAAAACGGACTATTGCTTATAAACGGTTGTCTAAGGCGTTGGAAATCGGTAAATTGGCTTTAAGTGATAATTCTCAGCTTGATTTGTTTTTATCATATCATCAGGAAGTTAAACAAATCGCATCAAACTTCGAAGACGCTCATTTTGTAATTATTCGTTTATTGGATGACGAGGAAATCGATGATAACGAAATACAAGAATCTTTTGATGATATATATTTTCAGGTGTTGTCAATACATCGTTCTTTAACTAAAAATGACTCGTCCCATATCCCAAAAGGCTCATCATCAAATATTCGTTTACCTAAACTCATCCTCCCGAATTACTCGGGCAATATTAAATTATTTCCCGAGTATATTGATACATATAACGCATTGATACATAATTCTACTTCTCTTTCGGATACCGAAAAGTTTCATTATTTGATATCTTCTCTGAGCGGCGATGCATTGGCTGTAGTGAAGACTTTTCCTATGTCTCACGAATATTATCGGGATGCGTATGAAGCACTTGTTGCCCGTTATAAGTGTAAACGGACCTTAGCTTTCACGTGTTGGAGAGATATTCTCAGTATCCACTTTAAATATACTAACGCCTATGAATTTCAAAAATCATTAGATCAGTTTGAGGAGAATTTAAGTATTTTAAAAACACTTGACTTGCCAACTGCACATTGGGATTTCGTTCTAGTTTATCACATTTTGTCGAAATTAGATAAAGACCTACGCCGAAGTTTTGAAGAAAAATACTCTGACATCGAATTACCATCATATGATCAGCTCAAAAGGTTTTTGCGATCTAAATGCGAAGCATTACTGCGCGATACTCATTTTTTGGACTTGCATCAAACAAATAAATCTTTTCTCAAAACCGGTACGCCTATGCAGTTTCAGCCCAAACGGATGAACGTGTCACATACACTTATCGCCGCAACTGATGCCACACCCGCTGACAACAAAAGCGGTTTGTACTATGCAAAATGTTCATATTGCAATGAGACACATTCTATATCATCATGTCCCGACTTCCTTCAAAAATCACTTGAGGAACGTATGAAAATTGCCAATGACAAACATTGGTGCTTTAATTGTCTGAAGCCCTCTCATCAATTAAAAAACTGTACTTCTATTTTCTCGTGCCGCACTTGCAAACGTAAACACCACACCTTACTCCATCGCGATAAAACTATCGAATCAAATCCTATCTCATCTTTGGTTTCAAGGTCTGAATCAAATACAACTGTATTACTGGCAACTGCAATCGTTCAGGTTAGAGATGCTTCAGGTAATCTGCAATCGTTTCGAGCCTTATTCGATACGGGAAGTCAAAGCAATTTCATAACGGAATCGGCCATGAATCAGTTAAAGCTAAAACCACGTCATTCAAACGTGAGCGTTTCTGGACTGGGAGAAGCAGAAACTTCTATAACTGGAGGTATCACGTGTTCCATAGCTACTAACGATCGTGTTGTATTTGATACTGACATGTACGTGATTCGAAAAATTTGCGGTGATCAACCAATCGCTCATTTAAATACATCAAATTGGTCACACATTCAATCGCTGCCGTTAGCCGATCCTGGTTTCGATATTCCAGGACCAATCGATATCTTGTTTGCTGCGAACGTATTTGTAGATTCGCTTCTCGATCAACACATCAAGGGTGGTGTTAATCAACCTACGGCGTTTAATTCTATTTTTGGGTGGTTACTGTTAGGTAAAACTTCATTGTCATCTCATACGCTTTTGCATTCAGTTCCAAATATAGATATCGATTTAAATTCTCTCGTTCAACGCTTCTGGGAGCTGGATTCCTTACCGTCTTCTTCAAGATTGACTCCAGACGACGAGTTATGCGAAAAGAAGTTTATTAATGATCACACTCGAGACATCTCTGGACGATACATGGTTCGCATCCCTTTCAAGGAAAATACGGAACCTATTTTTGAAGGTTCTCGAAATCTCGCTTTGCGAAGATTTTATGCAATCGAACGAAGACTTTCTCGAGATTCCAACTTGCGTTCTCAATACACAGACTTTATGAGCGATTACATTGATAGTGGACACATGTCACTTGTCCCAGCAAACGAAGTAGGTTTAGGGAAATACTACATCCCTCATCATTGCGTTTTACGTCCTGATTCTACCACTACTCGTCTTCGAGTTGTTTTCGACGCTTCGGCAAAGGATTTAAATCATCGGTCCTTGAATGACACTCAACTCATCGGGCCTAAACTACAACCGAATATTGTATCAATTCTTTTGCATCTCCGGGAACATAAAATAGTTTTCATGGCTGACGCTCGACAAATGTATCGACAAATTCTTATATCCCCTGACCACCGTGACTATCAACGCATTTTTTGGAGAAATACGCCGAATGAGACACTTCAAGAGTATCGTTTGAACACAGTCACTTATGGGCTTGCTTCGTCTCCATATCTCGCATGCCGTACTTTACGACAGTTGGCTAAAGACTGGGGAAACTCATACCCGCTTGCTAAACAAATCATTTTATCGGATATTTATATTGACGATGTTGCTACTGGATTTCAATCACTAGAAGCTGCTCAAGAAGCAAAATCACAACTCATTGCTCTTTTTAGTCATGGATGTTTTCAACTTAGGAAGTGGATAAGTAATGATATGCGATTACTGTCGGATATTCCTAAAGAAGATTGTTTAATGGGTTCCGTATCGCTTGACAACACAGAAAGTGGCATTTTTAAGGTTTTAGGTCTCAAATGGGATCCCTCGTCTGACAGTTTCCTTTTTGAAATACAGTCTTTAGATCGACCATGTACCAAACGTTCGATTCTTGGCGAGCTTGCTCGTATTTTTGACCCCTTAGGCTTTCTTTCTCCTGTTACGATCCAAGCTAAATGCTTGATTCAGAAACTTTGGGTTCTCGGCGTCAGTTGGGACGAAACTCCACCTGTTGAAGTTGTTAACTCCTGGAATACCTATCGCGAGCAATTACCATTGTTAGGTGCACTCAAGATTCCACGGCGATTTACATGTACTGATGCGAGATCATGTGAACTGCACGGCTTCTGTGACAGTTCAGAGGCGGCTTATGGAGCAGTTATTTATCTACGTGTTTCTGATTCAAAAGGCAATATCAATGTATTTCTTGTCTGTTCTAAAGCTCGTGTAGTACCTTTAAAACGTACCTCGTTACCTCGACTGGAACTCTGTGCAGCTGTACTTCTGTCGGACTTATATAAATTCGTACATGACGCGTCCATAATTAATATAAAAATTGATGCTACGTATTTTTGGTCTGACTCGACAGTCGTTCTTTCTTGGTTGCGCTCTCATTCTTCTCGTTGGGCCACGTTTGTAGCTAACCGTGTCAGTCATATTCAAGATATTACACCTGCTGAATGTTGGCACCATGTGTCCTCTGGAGATAATCCAGCGGACATATGTTCCCGTGGACAGTTTCCCAGTGAAATTGTCGGCAATGAGTTATGGTGGGCGGGACCTTCATGGTTATCGAAGGATTACACATTCTGGCCTCCTTCATCAATTACAATAACATATGAAGATAAAAGTGTTATGGAAACTGAAACACGAAAATCCATTGCTTTAACGTCAAACACTATCATTGATCCTACAAAGTCTGAAGATATAATCAATAGCTCGCTAAATCGTTTCTCATCATTGTCAAAACTTATTAACGTTTTTACCTATATTTATCGATTTATCAATAATACTCGCAACCCTAATCAGGCCAATCGTAATTGTTACCTGAATAACGTCGAAAGACATAATGCATTAATGCGTATTGTTAAACACGTACAAAATGAATCGTTTGTTAATGAAATTTTATGCCTTAAATCTCAAAAATCGTTACCTAAACCGTTTCGGAAACTCAATCCGTTTATCGATAATCAAGGTATCCTCAGGGTGGGCGGAAGAATATCGCGATCTGGTTTAGAATATGAACAAAGACACCCTGCTTTTCTACCATCCAATCATCAGTTAACGTCATTGATTATAGATTTTATCCATCGTAACTATTTACATCCAGGTATAAATACTACAAATTTTTTATTACTGCAACAGTTTTGGATCGTTTCCGCAAAACGTATCATACGTCGTCAATTAGCGAAATGTATACAATGTTACCGAACTAATCCACGACCTCTACAACCTTTTATGAGCAATCTTCCATCTTACCGTGTTAACCAAGTGAAACCCTTCTCGGTCGTCGGTGTGGATTTTGGTGGGCCTTTTAGAATAAAGCTTGGTTCTCATCGGGGTGCTAAGATAGATAAAGCATATCTCTGCTTGTTTATCTGTCTGGCCACTAAAGCGGTACACCTCGAGGTGGTGTCGACACTCTCTACTGAAGGCTTTGTAGCTGCTTTGCGTCGTTTCATAGGACGTCGTGGTAGATGTAATGTAATACATGCGGATTGTGGTACTAATTTCGTTGGTGCTAGAAACCAATTGTCAACTTTAATGGAGCAAGCGTCTAGTGCACAAAAAATTGAATTCAAATTCAATCCACCATCAGCTCCGCACTTCGGCGGGGTGTGGGAGATTCAAATTCGGGCAGCCAAATCTCATTTATATCGTGTGGTCGGTAATCAAGTTTTAACGTTCGAAGAGTTATCTACTCTTTTTATACAAATTGAATCAGTATTGAATTCACGGCCACTATGTCCCATTAGCTCTGACCCTAACGATTTATCAGTTTTAACACCTGGACATTTTCTCACTTTAGAACCTCTAACAGCTGTTCCTGATGAAGATCTATCAAATACTAAAGTTACTCGGCTTCATCGATGGCAATTGTTACAATCTTTTCATCAACATTTTTGGTTCAGATGGAAGCACGAATATCTTAATTCTTTAACGCAACGAGCCAAATGGACCAAAAATTCTAAACCGTTAAGTATCGGTTCGATGGTGATTATCAAAGACGATAATCGTACTCCATTGCATTGGCCTCTAGCTCGAGTTGTTAATCTATTGCCAGGAGCCGACGGAATCGCTCGGATTGCCATAATCCGAACCGCGAACAATCATACAATGCAACGACCACTAGTTAAGTTATGTCCTTTACCTATAGAGGATTAACCAAAATCGTTGTCTTTTAGATTTCTTTTTTTTTATATTTTTATTTTATTTATAGTTATAGTTTCTTTCATCGTCATTTCGTTTCTAAGATGTCTGTTTAACAATGTTACATTTTTTTTTTTTTTAATAACCAGAAAATACCATAGGCATTTTGGTAGGCGGGATGTTTCGTCGCGAACTTTCTAGATTAATTTTATCGTTAGTTTTTTTTTTTATATATACCCTCAATATCGATGTTTATTACTCGCAACGCATAGCAATAGCAGTCGTACAAGCTGCCATGCACCACGCCCAGTTGTATCTGTGACTACGGCGCGAGTGTATGTCTATCGTTTCGAAAATTATCTCTGCATTCAACCTCACCTCACGTCTTCAAAGACCGGATCTACCGAAGGTGGATGTTCATCGAAGGCATTAGCAGAACAAGGTACGTGTGTGCATTATATTTGCTATTGTCAACGAGTTTTTTAGAACATCGATTTATTCGTATACGTAATAGTCCCTATGTAGCATAAAGCCACCGCTATTTCGGATTGGTGCGAATGCTACAGAATGTCTATTCCTGTTTTGGTTATTTCTTATTTATTTGTTTTATATATTTATTGCATTTCCATTTTAATGTTTTAAGTTTCTAGTTTAATTCTGCTATGATAATATATTGAGTTGATTTCGCATCATCTATACTGTAATCTTGTGAATTATTATAGCCTCTGTAATTAGATTCACACTAAATATTACAAAATATAACCTGATATATTTTTTGTTCCAATATGTTTTTGTAAAATAATCACTTTTTGTTGTTTTAGAGCTGTTGAATGAATGTAAGGAGTTGGAAACGGAAATAGAAAAAGGAAATCTTAGTAAACAAGATAGGTTGAATGATGTAAGTAAATGTAATAATTATTATGTTCTAATTATATATTTGTGCGTATATATGATTATTTTACGGGTCTATTTTAAATAGAAACATAAACAAATTGTCTTCAAATAAACTTTATGTAAATACTTTTAATAGTCATATAATATTTTTTTATTCTACCATGAAATTACATGTTGCTCTATTGAATAAATGTGAACAATACAAACATTATTTAGAGTATGGATACAAACTGCTAAATAGCGAGATATTTTATATTTTCATATTAACTGTCGAGTTTCTTATTAGCCGTGTTTGTGTATAGAAAAAGTGAAATTTTGTTGGAAAATTGTAGTCTTAAAAATATTACAGGTGTATGCGGAATTAAAAGCTATAGGTGCGGATTCCGCTGAGCCACGCGCTCGACGAATTCTTGCGGGTCTCGGTTTCAGCCGGGAGATGCAGGACCGGCCCACTAAGAACTTCTCTGGTGGTTGGCGTATGAGGGTATCTCTCGCCAGGTATACCTAAGTAATATTATGTTTTGAGCTTGTCTATTGCAAGCAAACAATGTGCAAAAAAATCTCTAATGTTTACTAATTGTACTAATGTAATATAAATAGTGATTGTTATTATAACGCTTACATTTTTTAATTTAGTTTACATACTGTTATTCTTTTATTTAAATTTACTTTTTTTGTCAACAGAATCGATATCAAAATGTTATTGTGGATAATATTAATTATTTATAAAATAGATTTTTAAGAAGTATATACAACTAAATATATGACAATGAAATAATTCGAATTTATTCCATTTTTACAGAGCTCTGTATATAGAGCCAACGTTGCTGTTACTTGATGAACCGACAAACCATTTAGATCTCAATGCCGTAATTTGGTTAGACAAGTGAGTAAAATTATTTTATATACAAATTATTAGTAATTACAGACCTTTAAAAAAGTTAAAGAAATACCCTTACTCTTTTAATCTCATTTTGAAATTAGTAAAAAGTGTGTGGTTTAAAACTATTTATTACATACTTTGATTTTCAAATTGTCTCATAAAAATATCTAGAATTCTACTCTATGTGGTGACTCAGAATTTTACCGATTATGGGGAACTGGTGAGCACAACTCCTTTCCAAATAAGTTATAAACCTATCTGGATAACGTGCTAATAGTGGGTTACATAATGCTCTTATGAGGAGAGGCGAGTCTATCAGTCTATGATTTGTTCTGCTGGTTGATCAGTAATTGCCACAAATCATAATTACTGATCATACAATTCTAAAAAGCCCATCAGTGTCAGCCATTAAGAGTAACCTAATATATTTTGGCAATTTGGGATTACTATAATAAGCATTATCATTATTATATAGTATAAAACAAAGTCGTTTCGCTGTCTGTCCATCCCAATGTTGAGAGTGATTCAAGAGGAAATTTTATAAGTATAATACATCCCGTGCGAAGCCAGGGGGGTTGCTAGTTATGTTATATAAAAACTATAATTATACCTAAAATTGTCTCTTTTTTTTCAGTTATCTCCAAGGTTGGAAGAAAACGCTTCTAGTGGTATCTCACGACCAGTCATTTTTAGACAATGTTTGTAATGAAATAATTCACTTAGATCAACAAAAGTTGTATTATTATAAGGGTAATTATTCAATGTTCAAGAAAATGTACGCACAGAAAAGGAAAGAAATGATAAAGGAGTACGAAAAACAGGAGAAGAGACTGAAAGACTTAAAGGCACATGGACAGTCGAAGAAACAAGCCGTAAGTTGATTTCCTAATGACTCATACATAATGTCAGACAGTAGAACGGGTAGAAATTGCAACTAGGTATCGCCTATGAATAAGTATAAAAACATTAATTTTGTCTCAAAAATTGTCCTATTGTAGCCAGAATAGTGATCTAGAATGATCTGGTAATATATGTGTGATGAGAAATTACAGTAATAAACATTGCGCAGTAACGCAAGAACTAGGTACTAATAACTCAAACAAGTGCTAATTAATAAAAGTTATTTTTATAGTTACAAAGTAATGAGGCATAACGCCTTCGAGTCTAGAATTAACCTCGGGAATTTGTAGGTCCATAAAGCTTTTAAAGCATATAGGCGATGTTTTTTACCATATAACTACATAAAATAAAAGAACAATAAAACATATATTCAGTCTTGGTTCCCTTTGGCGGATAGCAATATGCCCACCTACGTGATTTGGCTTAGAATAGTAAATTAGCCAACGACCAATCCTATGGAAAGTGGGTAACTGTTTGATTTGAACATGAACATACTACCTTGCAAATTCATTGTCATCCCTCTTCTTGAAGTGAAGGAAAGTACTTTGGGGCAGGTATAGAGCTGACATTATTTCATTTTTTGTTTGTGGCGAAGTTTATGATTGTCATTTTAAAGAATCCCATATTTTATTATCATTCAATAGGAGAAAAAACAGAAGGACGCCCTGACCCGCAAACAGGAAAAGAATCGTAGTAAAGCACAGCGCGAGGAGGCTGAGGATTCAGCGGCACCGGTGACACTACTGCAGCGGCCCAAAGAGTACATCGTCAAGTTTAGTTTCCCGGACCCACCACCACTGCAGCCACCAATACTTGGCTTACACAGTATGTGCAAATCTTGGCTTACATAGTATGTCCATATAGGGGAGAGACAGAGAGAGGATTGTTAGTAATGTGGAGTGATCACCCTATTGCTATCAAATAAATACATACCTAATATACATACAAAACACCTATACAAATAATCACCCTTACGATTTCAAATCAAAATAGTGTGAAACCATTGTGGTAAATTGCTGTTTGCTAAGATGAATTCTCGTGAATGACTATGATGGGCTAACTGATCTCACCTCATCAAGTGGATCTCTTCCCACTGGTGCCGACTATAATACACTTGCATTCATAATGCCACCTTCACTTTAGTTCTGTAAGAAACACTAACAAAATTATTGTGGGACAGAGAACAATCCCTTTCCAGTAAAGAACATCCCCAGTAAATAAAAAGTTATCATGTTATGGAAATTAGTACGAAAAACAATGAAAATATTATTGTTTGAAATTATATGAAATAATAAATGCCTATATGTTTTTTCAGACTGTAAGGATAAAAGATACGGAAGCTATTTTGTACACTATTGAATTTGTACGAAACTTTCTTTAGTTTTTAAGTCCTTCTGTATATAGTTTTTTATATATTCCTTGCTTCTCTATTTATTTTTACTTATTTATTCTATTCTATTTATTCTTTACTTATTTATCATAAATACTTAGGTATTTTTATATTTCTATAACCAAATAAATTATACTAGCTACTCGCCCCGGCTTCGCACGGGTGTACATGTATTATATATATACACCTTCCTCTAGAATCACTCTATCTGTTTAAAATAAACGCTTGAAAAATTTTCGCTTAGTTTTAAAGATTTAAGCATACAGCGACAGCGACTTTATTTTATACCATGTAATGATGATACATATATCAATTATAGGTTCAGTATTAGAAATGTAATTTAACCTTTTTTGTTGACAGATGTGGATTTCAATTTCGATGGTCAGAAGCCTCTGTTGAAGGATGTAGATTTTGGAATAGATCTGAAATCTCGTGTAGCCATCGTCGGTCCCAATGGTGTTGGCAAATCTACCTTCCTGAAATTACTTGTAGGCGAGCTTAGTCCAATCCATGGTGAATTAATTAGGAATCATAGATTGGTAAGTTTACATTATTCAATGAATGAATAAAGTTTCTTGTTGTCAAGTTACGAAATGTTGATAAAAAATAAATTTAAGCTGCATTTTCACACAGAAATATTTGTAAGAATGACTGTAATATTTTTACTATAACCTGACAGATCATTCCGCTATGTTGTTATTTATCTATATAACTTTAATGCCTAAAATACAAAGGTACATATGATGGACTTAATACCATACGGCATTTTCTATCAGTAAACTATAGGTTGTGCAGAAAAAATTGTTAAGGGGTACAAATATAGTGGATAAAAAAAAATATCAGTTTAACTTTAATATAGAAAAAGGGTGAATATTAATGGGATATAATTTGATGTAAAAATTATTTATTCATATAGGACTTATTTTGCCACTTATCAACATTATTTTAAATTATTCTCTCGTTCGACTGGTTACTTCAGTTTAGAAGTGTTAGTAAGAATCTAAAGTGGTACATCAACTATCAGATTATGTGAATAATTTTGTATTATTTATTCATGTTAGGATTAAATGGAGCTATATTTTGTCTACAGAGGATAGGTCGCTTCGACCAGCATTCGGGTGAGCACTTAACAGCGGAAGAGTCCCCAGCAGAATACCTCCAGCGGTTATTCGGCCTTCAATATGAGAAGGCGCGCAAGGCTCTAGGCACGTTTGGGCTGGCCAGCCATGCGCATACCATTAAGATGAAGGATCTCAGCGGAGGTCAGAAGGCTCGGGTCGCTTTGGCGGAGCTTACTTTAATGGCGCCTGATGTTGTTATATTGGTAAGTATGCTTAAAAAAGGATAGGAAAAGTTTTTACCAAGTAGCTACGCGTAGGGTATTTTGTATTTCTTATAATATATCTGCCACGTTAGTTCTCTATTCTGTATTACAATTTGAATGGCAGTGAAATTGTTGGGTATGGGGAAAATTATCAATACAATTATCTCTCAGATTTGGCAATGAATTGGCATGATGAGAGAGTACGGTAGTGAAATTGTTGTGTATGGGGATATATCAGTCTAGATTCTTATTAATTATTTATTGAATTATCATTCTCTCTCAGATTTGGCAATGGAGAGTATCATTATAGCATTAAGGTTGCGAGTTGCGAAGCATGTAACATATATTTACATGGGAAATCCTCTTTGTTTCATATGTTCAAAATCTTACTTATACTTATATTATAAATATGAAAGTGTGTCCGTCTGTCTGTTTGTTACTTTTACACGACAACCGTTAAAAGGATCTTAATGATATTTGTATTTGTGTATTTAATATTTTGATAAATATTAAATACATGATCCTAATAAATTAGTTCTAGTTGGTAGTTTGTATTCACACGTTTTTCAAATGAGCGGTACTTTTAAAAAGAATAACTATGGCAATTCAAAACTGCTTAAATTAAATTAATTTGAATAAAATATTTTATATCCTATTAATTGTTTAATGTTATAGGATGAACCGACGAATAATTTGGACATCGAGAGTATAGATGCATTAGCGGAGGCTATCAATCTGTATAAAGGTGGTGTGGTAATAGTGTCCCACGACGAGCGTCTTATTCGGGAGACTAATTGCGCTCTTTATGTCATTGAGGACCAGACAATCAACGAGGTACGACCTTTACGTCTATCTAATAGGTATATTCGCTATGTATTCGGCCTCGGTGGTGTAGTTTAGTACTCCGCCTTACTTCCAATGGTTCGAATATACGCACTATACAAATAATAGTATCATGACGGCGATTGTTTGTATATGGCTGAGGGTGTTCTTAATGTATATTATATGTTATGTATGTACAATAAAAATGTATTTAAGAATTTCTAACAGTTGCCTAGTCCCCATAACACAAGTTCTGCGTAGTTTGGGACTAGATGTTCTGTCTAAACCTATGCTGTGTAACCTTTATTCTTGCACTAGGCAGTGTACAATACTGTATATTTGATTTATCACCTTTTCATTAATCTAATTATTTCCGCTGTCTCATGATATGTTAATTTTAATATTTTCTTATGTCTCTCTCTAAATTTATGGAGTTAAGACAAGATTATTGATCCTTTTTTATAATAACAACATCCTTTTTTTATAGCAACAAACATATATGTACATATATATATATATATATGTAAACAAACATATTGAACTGCATAAAATTGTTATGTTCTGACTTTGGTTTTATGTGTTTATACTTTAATTAACAGGTCGATGGCGACTTCGATGACTACCGCAAAGAACTACTGGAGAGTCTCGGCGAAACCATTAACTCGCCATCAATTATCGCCAATGCCGCTGTGCAACAGTAGACTTCGTGTATATAGAGCCCGTACAATGAAAACTCTTTCGAAAACTGTCAATCAGTGCGGTGCTATTTTTATGGGAATACAATTTCCCTTTCTTCTCAATTCAACTGTGTTTTTTATAAGTATACAGTAGGATATCAACACCAATAGTGAACTGGTTTAAAAAACTTCTCAGTCAAAGGGATTTGTTCGTATAGAGATGGAAATTCATACTATGTAGTTTAAAAAAAATCTCAAATAAACCCTACAATACTAAATGCACCTCTCATCGGTATTCCGCCCCATTTAAACAGGTATAGAAGTTACGACGGACTGAAAAAGTAAAATATAAACCTGATTGATTTTTATAATGTTCTAGATGAATGTCATAAAAATCAAACAGGTTTATTTTGCTTTAAAAAACAAAATCTCAAGACTAGGGACTTGGAAAATTCATGTTTTATGTACACTGTATCTGAAAAAGTATATAATACTTAATTATTAACTGTAAACATACATACCTACTGATTATATATATATATACCTACTGAAATTATTTCAGAAACGCTTACAAAAAATATGTCAGTTTCCGGAAGGGTTTCCGTTGTCCTTCGAATGTTCACAAATATAATTCCAGAAGTATGTACTTTACCATCAACACTATAGTATTTCAATATTATATAATAGTAGACAGTTTTATTTTATTGAATATTTTAATTTTAATAGCTAATAAAAATATGAATAAATTACAACAGAGAATAATTATATCATTATTCTCTAATTAATAATCATTCAATAATTAATATTTGTATCTTTGAACTTCAATATTTTATCATCACTTTGTCATTTTACATGTAACATTTTCGTTAAATTTTATTGTAAAATATGTAAAACTATTTATATTTATGTAATAAATTTTGTTAGAAAATGTATACTTAGTTATATTTATTATCCTTTGACTATTTTTATACACACACGAACGAAGGCTCCGGTTTCGAAGGGTTTTTTAAATTAAATTTCACAAAAGCTTAACTTATTATCATACACCTTTACATTCCTTAGCAGTTACTTTGATGTTGTTAGGAAACCACAAGAAAATCCGTTCAGTAGTTTTTGAGATCATCGCGAACATACAGATGGGTTTTGATTTTTTGGTTGGAGCTATTACAAGGTATAGTTGTAGCATTACGACCTATTGATAACTATTGCGCTCGTAAATTAACTACGTCTCTTCAATTTCAGTAATTTTTATATCATATCTGAATTATACATCTAAACCCTCCTCAAATATCATTTATGTTGTATGAAAACAGCATGAGACGTTTTTCAGATTATTGGTAATATACAGACAAATAAGGCGGTGACTTTGTTTTATAATCTTTATTATATTAATACGTGAAGCAGAAATTTTGTACCCCTTTTTATGACAGTTACGCTGACCGAAGAGTATGAAATTTCGCACGCTTCCAGTTTCTATAGAGTAGGAGTGTAGAATGATAATATTGAAAAAAAATGATGCATAGAAGTACATTAAATCAATAAAAATATTACGCACACTATCATGTATTTCACATGAGTATTTAAGCGTATGTATGCATATATCCTCTTTTGTTTATTCGTTATTGCTGGTTCAATCTCTAGCTATGACTACTTGTATGTATATATAGTTAAATATTGTTAATTGGCACTCAACATAGGGTATATATACCATAGAGTATAACCACAAAGTGGGCTTATAAAGATATAGGTATCTGTCACAGATACACAGGTATATCTGCTGGAAATTAGTATTACAATTTTTCAACAAGCTTTTATAAAATTATTTTCTGTATACAAGTACCTATAACTAGTTACCTTTTTAATTAACTTGGTTACTTTTGCAATGGACATTAATTAGTTTCGTATTGCTTTATCTTGATTGGAATATACGAAACGAATATAAGAGAAACGAGTACAATTGTACTCATATCTATTAGAATGTACGAAATATACTCTATAATATTAAGTAGGTATTTACCTATTAAACAAAACTATTATGTTACTATTTGCTTACGGAACTTTGAAAATTATAAATAGTTGTAGCTGGTGATGAGTACCTGATGGCTACCGTCGCTTATATAGATGAACAATATTATCATGACTTCATGTTATGTGACGCATGGTGACTCACGCGTTGCTATTCCGAACTATTTCAGAGGATGCCTCTTATCCCATAATGTCACTGCCTAATCTTCAGCCTGTGATCGAAACACAGCTTCCTGCTTTTAAACATAGCTGCTTGCTTTGTAAGCCGCCTACAATATATAGACAAAGGCAAACGACTTTAAGAAGTTGTATCTCGGTTAAAGATTCAGTTACACAATCAAAGTAACTTCAATTTTATGGAAATGCACAAGCAAAGTATCCGATAGGTACTAATACCATGGTATATATAGAATAAAAATATTAAAAAGGAATAATCAAATTTCAGAATTAACAATATTATCACGTGTTACAGTGTTTGTAACAAAACTCCTCCAAAACGGCTTGAACGATTCTTACAAAATTAAGTATAGGAATATTCAGTATATCTGAGAATAGAACGTAATTTATTTTTAATATCATTAAGTGATAAACCCCTAAAATATTAATTATTAAGATAATATTTTTTATTTTTATTTTATGGTTCGGCATTAGGTATAGTCATATAAACACATATGTACAGTCATACACATCCCTAAATTTTCACCGTTTTACCATAACTACATCAAGCTGCCTGCCGGGTTAGTTAGTATATCTAATGTTAAAAAATTCAGTAACTAACTATGCTATGAAAAGGAAGCGCAATCTATAATAGCCAATCTCATACAGATATTTTTCTATAGAAGAATATGAGAAGTAAAAGTAGTTTATATCAATAAATATAAACTTTCTTTACTCCTTGTGATATTAAGAAAAAAGATTTATCCATTCTTTCTGTGGTAGGTAACTTCCCATTAAGTAAGTAGGTGGGCTACCTTGTGATTTGGTAGATCCCAAGTTTTTCCTCAATTTGCGTACAGCCTTTCGCCCCTCCATTACAAACTTCTCAGCTTCATTAGAGGATTTAAAACGCAAATTTCCTTTTCGATTGTAACTTTTTTCCACTTCTTGAAAGGAAGCTTCTTTTAAACTTAAAAGAAAATTAGTATCCTTCCCTTTGAGGGGCGGGAATGTGTTTTAAAAGATTCGTTTGGATATTCGACTCAATCTGCTAGAATAATTATATTTTCGTTTTGAATAAACGAGTTAGTGTAGTAGCGTGGAATTTTTTATTACGAGTACGTAGTTAGGTACATTGAAGTTTTGTGTTATTTTTTAACTACATATTCTATATTTAGATTAATAATTCCTATACCTATATCCTTCCCCTTTACCACAGAATTATTAATCTGTAAATATATTATAAATTATATAGGATAAATATTACCAGAATTCATAAATCTTGGAGCCTAAAGTAGATTCTTTCAGTGATCTCGAGGTGCACTTTTTGTAGATTACCTTATATATATACCTAAATGTCATATATATAACTTACCTGGTATTTACTTTCAACTGACTTTAGAAAGGTGACCGTCTTTTTACTACTTTATATTTTTGCGTGGAACAAATCCTACCTGCTTAGTTGTTACATAGATAGATTGATATAGGTATTATATTGGTAACGTTTCTAGAGAAACAACACTAAATATTTTTTTTTACATATAAGTAAATAATTACTGCGTTAAATTAAAAATTAAGTATATGAAACATTCAATAATATATAAAACAATCTCGTCTGTTTAAAGAGTCTCCCTATGAGTTAATTTTAAAGTGTTTCACGTAGAACTGCATCTACTTGCATATGCATAACATAAAATTTGTACTTATCTATTTAATACACCACAAGCAGATTTCCTTTACGCATACTCGGCGACCTAAACGCGTTACAGCGAATTATCCTTTAACGAGCTAACAATGAGAGGTTTGCCTATCACCCCAAGAGCCTATTACTGTCTAGCACAGATAACAAATATTACATACAGATACCCCATCCCATACAAGAAAATGGTTCCTTCCTAACTCGGGCTATTCTTCGGGCTATTTTATTTCGCCACCGTAGCCGCTAGATGTCGCTAGATCTGAAGCAGTTCGGATTACTAGTTGAAAATAGATGGCAGTGAATTCAGTCTACATGACATCTGTTTTGCAAAGATATGTATATAATAGATATGTAGGTAACTGTATCGTGTACCTCATTAGGGACGATTCAAGATTCAATGTAAATGTGTAGGTATAATATCGTTAGCCGACACTCTGCAGATATGGCTTATGTGCCAATGTATATACCTATTGTGTTATGGTTTATTTTACATTCCATGCCTATTTTTTTTGATATGTTGTAACGCGTCTGCGCTATACGTATAGCCTGATTTTGATACGTTTATACTCGTACGTATCAAAATCGGGCTATACGATTTTTTATTTCAATCGTTATATGTATGAGACTGATTTTAGCTACAATTAATTTACTGGTATATACCTCATGTATTCTACGATGTACCCCTCTTTTACCTAATGAGAATTCCGCTATATCTTATATATAAATTTTGTATCACAGTGTTAGTTGCCATATTTCTCCCACATTTTGATGAAATTTGATATGTATACTTCCCAGGTCTGAGGTAGGGTTGTTATCTATTTTTTATACCCCTAAGTCATAATGGCCTACCCCGAAAAATATTTTTTTGTATTATGGACAATTTTTTATTTATTTATAATATTATATTGAAAATACATACACGCCTAAATTTTCACCCGTCTTTCACCAACCCCTATTTTTAATAGCGATATTCTTACAAATATTATAAATGCTAAAGTAACTCAGTCTGTCTGTTTGTCTCGCTTTCACGCCAAAACTACTGAACTGATTTAATTGAAATTTGGTAGACAGATAATGTAGACCCTGAGAAAGGCTACTTTTTAATGCGAAAAAGTATTGAAAGGGGAAATGAAAGGCTATATGAGGATATCGTAATTTTTAAAGTCAGATCTTGTAAGATTAAGTGAACAGGGTCGGTCTAGGTTTTTCATTATTAGAAATGTGTAACGGGGTAACACGTTATTTAGTGCGAAATTGTGTATATTACAATAAAATTTAACGAGAAAATATTATAATGATATCACTGGGACACTCATTGCCTTACTACTATATCGTCCGTTAGTCGCGAACTTTCTGGAAACACGAGAGGCGCTATCCTATTGGTCGGTCGGCGCGGTTACCGCGCGTAGATGAGTAGATGAGGTACTTAGACGAGTCTCACGGCGCCGCAGCGTAAGTACTTACTATACATACGTAGTATACATATGGGTATTACAAATGTTTTTATTACTAGTAATATTACTCTGTTATCTAAGCAAGTAATGTGTGCTTATTTTGAACTTGATAACATTCTGAATTACTCGTATATCTTTCAATATCTTTAGCGGTATAAACCAGGTTATGTACTACTACTAGTATTGTTAGTGAGGGATAAAGTTGATGAACAAAAATAAAACAATATTCGTATTAAAAATATATTCATCTAATATTTTTGGCATTATTTTTAAGTTTCATCCAAATATAAGGGGTCTGACATGGGGTGTTATGTACCTACATTAAAAAATACTTTTTGAAATGTATGAAAGAAACGTATTGTATGAAATTTTTGAAATGTGTGAAATGTATGCACCTACATTAAAAGATAATTTTTGAAATGTATGAAAGAAATGTATTGTATGAAATTTTTGAAATGTATGAAATGTAAGGACCTACATTAAAAGATAATTTTTGACATGTATGAAATGTAT